GTTTGTGCAGACGTGCGGTGACGCGTTCAACGTGGTCCGAGAGCACGTGTCACTGCTATCGACGCTGCTCGTGCTCATGCTTCCGGCCGGCATGCCCGAGCTTCGGGACGTGAGCGATTTGGATCACCTGGTTGAAATTGCCTTGCTGGGCGTCGACGATGCGACGGCCGCCGCCAACTTTGAGACCGCGGTGCACTTTTGCATGGGCAGCACGTTCAAGCGCGTCGACAACACCATCCACATCATCGCCCACAAGTACCTGTAAGTCTAGAGTCAGTCGTGTATGATAGAAAAATCAGATGGTTTATAACTCTACCTCTGTTCATTGCTGCCGCTCGTGCATATCATGGGCAAGTAGCAGCGACACTGCCACGACGCATCGACGTGTCTTGTCCAGGTGGCGCCGAACGTGAGCCATACAGTCTCGGGCAACCCAGAGCGTTCACGGTGTTGTCAGAGCTCATGACGCGCTGACTTGGTTTCTCTTTGGTGGCTGCGTGCAGAATGATCCGAGAGAAATCAAAAATGTATCAATTACAAGTACTTGTGCGCGACAATGTGGAGGGTGTTGTCCCAGCGCTTGAAGCGCGACCCGAGGCAGTACTCGATCGCGACTTCAAAGCTCTTGGCCGCGTCCGTTGTCGAGAGCGTGGGCACACACACTTCGACGAGGTAGTTGATGTCGTCGCGGCTCCGCAATTCGGGCATTTCGGCCGGGATCATGAGCAGGAAGAGCGTCACGAGGAACGGCACGTGCTCTCGGACCACGTTGAACGCGTCACCGCATGTCTGCACAAACTTGGCAAACTCATCGGACCCGACGCCGCCGAGCACGTGCGCCATCTCGGGCGTAAACACAAACGGCGTCTTCTCACGCTTGATGCCAAACTAGAACCACAATTCAGATCCGGAAAGCCGCTCGGTCGTCGCTACCTGGTACTTGACGTGCCCGAGAAAGTGACCAAAGTCAATGTGAAAGTACCGACCCGCGTGCGTGAGCTAGTAGGGTATGTCAGTCTGACAGATCCTTGGACAGGAGGTACCATGATGTTGTCGTTGTGCCGGTCACCGATCCCGAGGACACACGTTGCGACGCAGTAGCCGGCGCACGACCGGCGAAAGAGGTCGACAGCGGTCTTGAGGCTCTTCTTGTCTTGGTTGTTGGCCGTGATCCAGTTGGTGAAGCTCGTCTCATCAAACGCGCCCAGTGTGCCGATGCGCTTGTGAATGTCGGCGGTCGTGATCGAGTTGAGCACGACTTGGAGGATGCCCGTCATGGGGCCGGTCGCCACGCATTTGTAAGGCTCCATGGCCAAATCCAAGCCGCGCTCGCGCCAGAGTTCGTCCATGACGCGGATCAACTGCAGCGTCAAACTGTCCTGACGCACGTCGTCGCCCGACTTGAAAATGACGGTGATCGGGTCGCCGCCAGCCTCGGCGTTCTCAAAGACAAGATAGAGCGGAAGCTTGGCCGACGACATGACCTTGCACTTGGACACGATGAGCTTGCCGACTTCGACGCGCGGGTCGATCGGCAGCTGGTACGACGTCGGCAGGCTCTCGTTGAGCGCCGTGAGCTTGCTACGGGCCTCGGCGCGGATCTCATCCAAGTTTTTGCGTCCCGCCTTGAGCTGCTTGACGTACTGGCAGATGCCTTCCAGCGCACCGGACGGCGAGAAGAGCGTGCTCTGCACGAAGAGCACGTCGCGCATCTTGGCCGACGAGACGTCAATGAACGAATTCAGAAGGGTCCCAAAGCGCTCCCGGAACCGGTCGTTCTCGGCCTCGACTTTCAGCGCCCAGAAAATATCAAAACCAATCTGGTTCGGGTTGCGCAGCCCGCGTTCAATCAGATGCAGTGCCAGCGGCGACGCGTGGTAGCTCTCGTACTTGAGCGCTTGGACGAGCTGCGGGATGAAGTAGCTGAACGTCGTGTCGGCCATGGCTGCGAGCTTCTCGACCGCAAACTTGCGCACGTAGTCGGACGAGAACTCGACGTCGAGGAGCTCGAGGTACTCGGCCGGGTGCCGTGGCGCGGCCCACGAAGCCATGAGCGCGCGGGCCTCGTCGACGTCCGCCGCGTTGGTCCACTGGACGCACGAGAGGACGCGGGGCAGCGCGCGGAACGAGTGAGCAAAGAGGTGCCGGTGGGCCCAGAGCACCGTCTTTTGCAGCTTGTTGAGCCGAACGAGCGGGTCGGTTTCGATGAGGACTTTGATTTCGTCGAGGACTGCGGCGACCGAGGACGATGGCGACGAGGACGAGGGCGAGGGCGACTCAAAGATCGATGCTGTATCAAGCCGCTTGAGGTCGTCGGTCGAGACGGACGACGCCGTGATCGTGCTGCGCTGGCTGCTGAGCGCCGAATCGTCGAGGTCGCGAAACTCGTTTTGGTTGTCGGACGCTTCGAAGGCGACCGCGCGGATCGCGGCCATCCACTCGTCGCGGTCTTGCTTGGAGTCGGCGGCGATGAGGAAGACGCGGCTGGACTCGAACGGCTTGAGCTTGAAGCCCCACGTGCGCTGCTCGCGGCGGGTGCCCTTGTTGACAGCAAACGTCGTGTACGTCTCTTTTAGCGCATCACAGATGAGCACCGTCGCCTGCTTGAGCGGAATGAGCTTTGGCGTGTTGCTCTGGGCCGAGTCGCTGTAGCTGAGGACACCGGTCGCCGACGAGAGGCTGAACCAGCGCTTGCGCCACTTGCTCAGCGAGCCTTGCTGCCCGAGCTTCTTGAGCCACCCCTTCTTCTCGATAACGAGCCCTGTCGGGCGACTGGCCTCGTCGTCGTCGTTGATGCCTTCGTCTTGGTTGTCGGTACTGTCGTCTTGGAGGCGGTACTGGACGTCGGTGGGGAATTGCGCCATCGTCAGCTAGCCATCCATCGTAAAAGAAGAGGAAGAGAAGCAGCTTTCGTACGTGGAGGTACGGCTTGGTCGTGTCAATGATATGGGGCACCGGGCCGACGCGGAGCGTGTACACGCTCGAGAGGAGTTGGTTGTACGTGTCGCCTTGCACGAGGAGTCCATCGACGTCAAAGACGTTGATGGCGGTGCTGCAAATGCGTTCACGCTCGTCGACGTTGGCGCTGACCTTGCCACTTGCGTCCTTCTTGGCACCCCAGAGCGTCAAAACGAGCCGGGCGGTCCGCGGCAGATCCTTGATCTTCATCTTGGTGCGGTACCATTTTGGCTCATCCCAGCGCGCGACGTAGTCGTGGACGTTCCACCCGACGCTGCTGGCCGAAGCTGTGGCCGTTTGGAGCTGGAGCTTGGTGTCGACCGACTCGATGGGGTCCTCGAGGCGCTGGCCGCCGTCATAGAGCTCGACGCGGACGAGCACATCGGCATAAACAAGCGGCTGCTTTTCGATGCTCATGTCGTGCGACGTGCGCTTGAGCGACGACGTAAAGCCCGGGCAGTTGATCGCGCGATGAATGCAGAACCGAAGCGGCTCCTTGAGGTTGCAACTCGGCGCGAGGAGCGACGGGTACGTGCTGGCCTCGGGGATGGCATCGTCGGTCGTCTCGCTCGCATTGTTGTTGGTGCTACCGTGGTGCGCGTCGGGCGACTCGAACGCCATCAGCGACGTCGCTAGCATCGACGAAAGCCGACCGGACGACTTGATGTTGCTCAGGACGCGCTTGTGACTCGGCGTCAGCGTCAAGGAGGCCTTGGGGACGACCGAGAGCCGCAGCATCTTCTTGGTCACGAGGCACTCGCGCACATACGTGTAGTCGACGACGCGGCGCTTCGGGTCGATGAGGTAGTCCTTGAAGCCCGTGAGCTTGAGCACATAGTCGGATGGGGTGTAGGGCCGGAGCGCGGAGGCGTCCACAGTTGCTTCGTAGCTGTGGAAGATGTGCTCGATGGCCATTTCGACGGTGAACGCTTGGGGCAAATTGAGCCGGACGTCGGTCTTGGCGGTCGCGCGGACTTCTTGGAGGCAGAGCATGCGCCGGTAAACGATGTTGACAACTTGGAAGCTCACCGTGTGGCTGAGCGCGTTGACCCACTTCATGTACTCGGCCTCGGACTCGGCCTGCAGCACCCACGTCCGGTTCGTCGTCACGAGCTCAAACGCCCACCAGAGATCGCGCTCGCCGCAGGGCTGGAAGCACGAGATCTTGTCGAGCTCGATGTTGCCTTTTTGAAGCTTGACGCGCTCGGCCCGCGTGTACTTGGCGTTGTCGACTTCGCGCTTGTAGTAGGCAATGACGTTGCCTTCGAGCTGCATCCAGCGCTTCTTCATGGACGTGTTGCCTTCGCCACGCTTCTTGAGCCACCCGAGAGTGACCGGCGCGTCGCTCTTTGGCGCCATCGACGGCTTCTCATCGTCGTCGTCGTCGTCGTCGAGGAGCTCTTGCGGAAGCCGGGCGACGGTCTTGAGGAACGCGTCGGCCACGTCGTGCGCCGCCCAGTCGCTTTGCTCGAGCTTGTACTCGGGCGTCGTCGCGCGCGCCTCGAGCTCGTCCGGCGACACTTCGAGATGCATGTCCTGCAGCACGTTTGAGAGCGCCTCGCGGAACCGGACGCTCTCCTTCGAGTGCATGAGGGACGGCACGGGCAGCCACGTCTCGACGCCGCCCGCGTCTGCGTCGTTGTTGTTGTTGCCGCTATCGAGCTCGCCACACCACGCGAGGCCGTACGGGTTGAGCTCGTCCATGCTGGGCAAGGCCACGTCGAGCTCGGTCGACGACGTGCAGCGGATCACCATCTTCGTTGTCGTCGGCGAATCCACGGAACCAAACTCGGATTGAGCAAAAAGCCGACTTTTGAGCATCCAGTTTGAGCATCCGGATAGACATGTCGCAAAAGCGCTCTCCTCTCACGTGAAAAAGGTGAAAATGTAATACACACGCGTGAGATTCAAAACCCACCTCGTGACGCACTGCATCAACTTCTCCCGCCACCAGGCCCGACAACAATTCAGCAATTATATAGTAGCAAGGTCATCTCGAAGCTTCGCCTACTGGCGGGTACGCGCCGCCAGGTGAGTGAAGGTGGCGGCTTGGCAGGTCGACGACTCTTGCTTGCTTCGTCACTTCCTTGAGCCGGACCGAGTGCTCACGACCACGATCAATGGCAAGTGACGACAGACCACATCTGTACTCAGAACAGAACGTACGAGCGAGATCTTCGCATCCCGATTGTGCTGAGGAAGCTTACTGAAGAGGGGACTGAGCAGCGGTGGACCTACGACAGACGCCACGTCGTCACTCGTGATGAGCAGCGCCGCCTTGGACGCACGAAACCAGCCGCTATTATAGACCTGCACAGCGTTTGAGTCGTCGGGCTCGAGTTTGTTTTTGAATTTGCACATGCGAATCTCACATTTTTCACTCGTCGCGGGGTCGTGAGAGTCGAATTTTGAATCGGAATCGGTGAATCGCGCAGTCATCGAATTCACTTGCCGCACTCAGTCCTTCGCGTATGCAACATGTCGCTCATTCCCATCTACAGCGGTAAATACTGTTATCCAAAGTACCCTTGTGCCCTTGCGGCCGCGCCACGACGCCTTGCCACGATGGCCGCGTTGAACCCAGCGGACGGGTAATTTCCACCAATCCAATGCGATGAATCGTCGCCAAACCGTTTTCATTGGCTATAATAGCGGGAGAGGCCATCCCATTGTCGACAAATATTGAACATCGTATTTGTATTATTAATAATACAATAGAAGGAATAAAAGAGGCGCGAAAGACGGCGACAATCCCACGACGATTCGGGTGTTTTTACAGCAACTAATAAAAATATCCAGGCCAGGAAAATATCGCAGGAATATTAATATTCCGCTTGTATAGTCCGCGGCCAATATTTCTATGGGGTGGCGTATCCGGATGCGGCCCCGGGCGACGGGGTCGTCCGGATACGGTCGGCCCCAGTTTGACTGGCAGCATCTCTTTCGACGGCGAATAAAATTGCAGCCAAACGCGAATATTATAATATTAATATTGAAATCGGATAATATTCGACTGCCACCTTGGACGCAGACGCAGATAAGATGAACAGCAGTCGGGGCTACGGCGAGATGGACTTCGCGGCCATGGCGACCTCGGGGAAGCTGCCGGCCTTCGACGACCTCAACCCCTTCGCGCAGTACGGCAGCGGCGCCAAGGCCGCCGAGGCCGGCCGGTGGCAGCCCGTGCCGGGCCTCGTCCACTCGAAGGAGAGTCTGGCGCTGCGCCAGGCGGTCGGCGCTATCCTCAAGGGCGTTCACGAAGAAGTCAAGGCCGAGACGCTCGAGATCCGCGCCAACACGCCCGAGTACCGGCTCGAGAACGACGACTGGATCGCGCACCGGAACAGCAACAAGGTGCTGCCGCAGACGCTCAAGACGGTCGCGCGCCTGCCCATGAGCCTCCTCATCACCAACCCGAACCACGTCGGCGTCGACAAGGAAAAGCTCAACGTCGCTGGCTGGCTCAAGAAGAAGGGCGAGAAGAACACGGCCATGAAGAAGCGCTACATGGAGCTCGAGAACAAGGTGCTTACGTACTACAAGAAGAAGCCCGAGCACCGCGGCCGGCCGCTCTCGCGGGAAGAGAAGGTACCACTCATGCAGGGCAAGATCGAGCTCGACAAGGTCTCTTCGGTCCAGCCGACGACGATCAAGGGCGTGACCGTCAAGTGGGGCATCGACCTCGTGACGACGAACCGGACGTGGGTGCTGCAGGCCGAGTCCGAAGACGAGTACCAGATGTGGGTTCACGCGCTTTGCCACTCGGTGCGCTTTCACTGCGTCAACCTCATCTACCGGCGCATGCTCCAGCTCGCCGAGGTGTCGGCGTCCGCCGAAAACGAAGTGCGTCTCGTGATCCTTCCGTCCTACACGGTGCAAGAGTCGGTCGAGCACATCTTCAACTGCTACAAGCTCATGCTCGACGCGGCGCCACTGCATCCGTACGACCCGAAGGAGTACGTCCTCAAGTTTACGGGGTACCGCGACTACATGATCGACCCGTTCCGCGAAGTTAGCAACTACCAGCACGTGCGCGAGTGTCTCATCACAAAGAAGACACTTTGTCTGACGCTCGTGCACCAGAGCAAGATCAAGGAGGCGCTTCAGCGTGGCCTGAGCATGCGCCCGGCGTCCGGGCTCATCTACAACGAAGCCGTGTGTCGGCCGGCACCGTCGTCGTCGGGGGCGAGCCGCAACAAGTTCAACTTTACGACCCTCGGCAACGACTGGCAGACGACCAACGACGAGGACAACAACGCCGACAGCCAGTTTACCACCGGCAAGAGCTGCCACTACCGCGAGCCGCTCCGGTTTTGCATCAACCGCGTGCTCAACATCCCACGCTACACGACGCACCTCCGCCGGACGGCGCACGACATGGCGCCCGAGCAGCGGCCGCTTCTCTTCACGAATGGCATCGTGACCATCGAGCTCTACAACGGCGGCAAGCTCCTGGAAAACGTGGTCGAAACCACCGACGTGCGCATGAAGGCGCAGATGGACGACGGGCTTATCGCAGTCTGGACCGAGCCCAAGTGGTACAAGACCAAATTGCGTTTGTACGAGATTCCGCGCACGGCGCGCCTTGTCTTCACCTTGTACGGTGTCCGGAAGGGCCTTGGCGGCGTCGTCTCCAACAACAGCGACGGCAACGACCGCGAACGCATCCTCACGACGGGCCTCAACGTGTTTGACGTCGAGGGCCTCATTGCGCAGGGCGACCAGTACATGCAGATGCTCGACAACCTGCACACGAGCCACCACGGCCCAGTGCCGCACGTCATTGATCCGGCCAAGCCCATTCTCCACGTACGTCTCTTCTTTATTGCTGACAAGTCTCTTATTGTGTGATGGCTCTGCCAGGTGTCGCTCTCGTCGTTCCACGCCGACATTGTGTTTGATTGGTCGGCGGGCAACGCGTCGAACGCAGCGACAGAGCAGATCATCTCGTCCAGCACGAACGGATCTCGCAGCGAGACGCTGGAAAAGTCGGGCTGGCTCAAGAAGACGGGCAAGAGCCATACGCTGACCGCGTGGCAGAACCGGTGGTTCACGCTCTCGCAGACGACGCACTCGCTCTCGTACGCCGAAGACGTCAACGCGCCGGCCAAGCACACGATCGACCTCCTTGGCGCGAACGTCATGATCGCTGACGAGCTCAACGAGCGCTACACGACGTTTGCAGTCTCGAAGGGCACGCGCAAGGAGCAGAGCACGTGGGTCTTCAAGCTCCGGGCGGCCGAGAGCTCGCGCGAGTTTATCTTGTGCGCCAACACGCGCCAGGAGCGCGAAGAGTGGCTCATGGCCATCAAGATGGTGGCGTCGGGCGAGACGCTCTCGGACGACGAGGACGACAACGACAGCTTCAACATAGGCAACCAGTACGACAACGACTTGAGTCGACTAACCTTGGACCCGGGCACCGCGGACCGCAGCACGATCTTGCACGGCTACTCGATGAACCTCATGTCGGAGCGCGGTCGTGTCATGAGCGGGCGCCAATCGTCGCTCAACAGCAGTGTCTTCTCGGACGGCGGCACCAAGGCGCTCGACGACCTTCGGGAGACGATCCGGCGCGACCCGCTCTACCGCCTCTCGTCGTTCCAGAAGGCCATCATGTGGAAGAACCGCGCCGATTTCATGGACCAGTTTGAGTTCCTCCCGCGCATGCTGACGTGCGTCAACTGGTTCAACGCGAAAGAGGTCGACGACGTGATTGCGTTTCTACCGCGCTGGGCCAAGGCGAGCCACCCCGCCGCGTACATTGAGCTCCTCGACATGGAGTTTGCGCACGAAGGCGTCCGGCAGTTTGCGGTCGACAAGCTCGCGGAGATGGCCGACACGACGTTCAGCTACTTTTTGCCGCAGCTCGTCCAAGCGCTCAAGTTTGAAAACCACCACGTGTCGCCGCTCGCCAAGCATTTGATCGAGCGTGCGATCAAGAACCCCAACCAGATCGGGTTTGACCTCTTTTGGAGCATGAAGGTCGAGTCGTACAACGAGCAGTACAAGGAGCGGTACGGCCTTCTCCTCAACACGTACGTGGACGTGTGCTCGTACAAGATGCGCTCGATCCTCGAGATCCAGGACAAGCTCTTCTCGGAGAAAGGCGTGTTTGAGCAGATTTGCCAAGAGATCAAGGAGCTGTCGCATACCAACAAGTCGATGGAAGCGCTCAAGGCGCTTCTGCACCAGCGCCTCGACGAGCTCAACGAGTCGCTCCAGTCGGCCTACCAGCTGCCGATCGATCCGCGTGTTGAAGTCCGTCGCATCGTTGTAAAGAAGTGCAAGATCATGTCGTCGGCCAAACTGCCGCTCTGGCTCGAGTTTGAAAACGCCGAAGAAGGCGGCGACCCGGTCATCATCATCTTCAAGGCCGGCGACGACGTGCGCCAGGACTGCCTCACGCTGCAGCTCATTCGTCTCATGGACGAAATGTGGCGTGAAGACGGGAAAGACCTCGCTATGGAGCCGTACAAGTGCGTCTCGACCGGCCCCATGACGGGTATCCTCCAAGTCGTCCAGCACGCTGTGACGACGGCCGATGTGCACAAGCGTGGTGGCGCCATGGGCGGCATCTTTGGCGCGTTCAACGATGCCAGTTTTACCGACTGGATCGAAGCCAACAACGCGGACGCGCGCAGCAAGAAGGTCGCGGTCGACCTCTTCATGCGGTCGTGCGCCGGCTACTGCGTTGCGACGTACGTGCTTGGTATCGGCGACCGGCACAATGACAACATTATGGTACGTCTACATGGTTTGTGCGATGCAAGCCTCATCGTCTTTGTCGCTAGATCACGACGGGTGGTCGCTACTTCCACATTGATTTCGGTCATTTCCTCGGCTTTATGAAGTACCAGGTAGAGAACACTTTGCTTCGATGAGCGTCATCTCATGCGTCTACTCTGTCTAGTACGGCATCAAGCGCGAGAAGACGCCGTTTGTGTTTACGCCCGAGATGGCGCACGTCTTTGGCGGCATTGGCACCGACATGTTCCGCAAGTTCCAGGACCTCGCGGGCGAGGCGTTCAACGTTGTGCGCCGGCACTTGCACCTGCTCGTCTCGCTCCTCTTGCTCATGATCCCGGCCGACATGCCCGAATTGCGCCGGCGCGACGACATCAACTACATTGTTGAGATCATGGGCAGCGAGAAGACGGACGCCGCGGCCGCGGGTATGTTTGCCGACCTCATTGTGCAGTGCACCAAGAACACGTTCAAGCGCATCGACAACACGCTGCACATTCTCAAGCACAGCTAAAGACGTACCTTGTCGCTCCTATTTTAACATTGGTAGTAGTATCTGTCTGCGTGGGATTCCGCGTGCATGTATCTCTGCAACAGCTTTTGGCGAATCACCGCCGCTGCAGCAGCCTTCGCCTTGCCATCGACAGAATACCAGAGCAGATATTGAGTCCTACCACACGCTCAAGCACAGAAGGCCAGAGCATTCGGCTGGGCCACAAACAGCTTGGGAAGAGACCGATGCCATCGAGATCAGTAGGAAAAGTGATCCAACCCAGTATATACCAGACTGGTACCAGAGATCTGGCGGTGATCTATCTCCGAGTCAACGGGACGGACTCTGTCATCTCGGTGCGCTGTGGCGGTCCGTCCACGTCGCAACACCTCGTCGATACACACCAAGACAATATTCCCTGGGTTTTATGCCCTAGCACACGTTGGCGTCTGAATGACAATGTTATTCAAGGTTGAGGGGACAGCGAAGACATTTTACTATGAGACATGTCTAGGTTGTCCCCGTCAACGTATAGCTTCAGACAAGTTGTATTTAGTCCATGACGATGTGTACATGCGTACGAACGAGTCTAGTAGTCGAGGAGGTATGGCGTCTTGGTCAAAAGAGCTGTCGGGTTGGCGAGGGATGTTGATCCATCCCTATTTTGCGTCCACCAATCACAGCGATGCATTGCGATCTTCGGCGGTCGCGGATCTTGCTCGAGTTATTAATATTAATATTCCGATCTGCGGAGGCCACTACCCAGGATAACGCTTGCAGCATGGAGCTCCGTACGTTCTGCCTCGCGTGATGAAGGACGATGGAATGAGGTAGACATGGAGCAGCTGCGGCAAATCGTCCGCCGGGCCGAGAAGCGCCATGGCCAGACGCAGCACCTCTCGCTCGTCCAGGTGCTCGAAGCCGCTGCACTCGAAGAGCACCCGACCTCGACGCATCGCGATCTGCACCGGTCGCTCCTCACGCTGGCCCTTGACCCCGAGGAGGACTGGTGGAAGAAGCTGTCGCGGCTGGTCACTACTACTACCCCTCTCCCCCGTCGCTCATGCAGGATTAGGCGTCGACGCGTCCGAGCCGACGCGCGCCGGCGCGGGATCGAACCGCGTCGGTCGACCGCTTCTCCGACGTCCTTTCCGCAACAGCAGCGTCGGCACGGACGACCATGACGATGAAGACGAGCGTTGACGGACGCCGCGCGCGTTCCACCATGTCCGTCGCCGACAAGATGACTGGTATCGTCGTGTCTGCACGGCGTAGATGCACATGGCATGCCACGTAGCCACCCGCGCACTGGTTGCCGTCGACGCGCAGTCGTACGAGAGCTTCCGCCGGCTCTCGATGGTCTTTACCCACTGGACGCGTTATGTGCTCGAAGCGCGGTCCCGGTGCGATAGTACAGCCTCAACGCTGTACGATATGTCGTTCTCCATGGGTAGGCGCCTCGCACCGATCCAGCTGCGCTGCCTCTTTCGGTGGCTCGACAGGTCGCTGCCGACAGCGGATCCGACGGCCGTTGGATCGACGCTGGCATCGGTCGCGCTCACCAAATCGCTCCATGTTTCTTCCAAGCGCATGGCGCTCTTCTTGCACGCCGATGCCACGCTGCGCAGCTGGGTGCTCCTCAAGGTCTGGCGCGCGTGGCTTCAGCATGCACGCGCCGACCTACATCGCCGGGTCACGGTCCAGCACCGCTTCTACAACGCGCGGCACCGGCGCGCGCGCGATCTATTGCGTCTCTGGCATCGCTATGCTCTCTGCGTCGCTCCCAAAGAGCGGTGCATGGTGACGCGCCACGGTCAGCAAACGGTGCGATTGCTTTGGCGCGCGTGGAAAGCCGCTATGCGCCTTCGCGGCGCCGGCCACGCACACGTGCTGCATACACAGCAGCGGATCTTTCAGCGGTGGCGCACCTACTATCACCAGAGACGGCTGCAGCGCGCGCGTGTCGACGCCGACGCGGCCATGGCCTCGGCGCGGCGACTGGCGCAGGTAGACGCTGATACGGACCCTTGTAACGCAGTCGGATTAGGTCTTTCGCGCGTGGAAGACGGGGACGCTTCGGCAGCAAGAGGCGGCGTGGCGCGGCCACCAAGCGCGCTGTCGCCGCGCCTTGTGTCGATGGCGGACGCTTTGCGTACGGTCCCACGCCTTTGGCCTCGTGCAGCACACGTATGGCCTTCGGCAATTGCGCGCGTGCGTTGTCCAATGGCGTCGGTATCTTCCTCGGCAACAAGCCAAGCGGCTCCTGCATGCTCGCTGCGACCATGTCGCCCACCTGTCGATGCGGCGGCGGGCCTTGGTGATGTGGATCGAGCAATGTCGCCGCGGTCGGTATCACCGCCTCGTGCTTGCCCGAGCCAACGACGTACGTCTTCTCTCGTCTACACGTCCTGGACAGAACGCTATGTTCTTGGTAGCATTGTGCCGATAGGCAAATGCAGAGGACCTGGCGCGCGTGGCACCAGCTGCTGCACACGGCGCGCCGACGTCGGTTCCTGCAAACGACGGTCGCCGCAGCGTTTCGACGCTGCGATGCGCTGTACTGGGTCGCGCGCTGGCGAGTGTGCGTCGCGACACCTCTTGCCCTGCCTCATGCGTCGTAGGTCGACGGCGGCCGCGCTCGAAACGCAGACAGTCGACCTGCGCAACGTGCAGACGGTGCGGAAGCGGCGCTTTTGGCGGCTCTGGAAGGCCCGTCGATTTCACGCCACGGTCGCCGCAGTCTTGACGTCGCAGATGACGTCGCATACCAAAAGCTGTGCGATGGTGCTCTGGCGGCGCTTTGTCGCGCAACGGCAGGCGCGTCACGCACGATGGATGACAGCGTGGGCGTGTCACCACCGCCACTTGCAGCAGCGCAGCTTGCGCCGCTGGCACGAGGTACGCGACGGGTTGAGTCGCACCGGCCATCTTATAAGGGAGTAGACGCTGCGACAGCAGCAGCGGATCACGCGCCTCTTGGCTACCGCGGTGCAAAACCACATGGGCCGCACGTTTGGCACGTGGCGTGCGAGCGTCCAGTACGGTCGTCGCCTACGAAAGGTGCAGGCACTCGCGCGTCAACGCCACCAAGAGAATGTGACGCGCGGGTCGTGGCACTGCTGGCGCCGTCGCTTTCACCACCAGCGATGTGCCGCGGCGTACTTGAGACAGCAAAACGACAAGCTACGAAGGCAGTTGTTTGCGGCATGGGTAGCGTACACGCGGTACTACATCTGGCAATGTGCTGGTTTGACCAGATATGTAGTACGCGCCACTGGCTGCGGCACCGTCTCGAGCATCTGCAGAGTCGTCAAGGCACCGCCGCTCTGCGACGGGTCTGGCGTCACTGGCAAGTGTCTGTCGTCAAAACTCGCGAGCGCAAGCGTCGCTCGGAGAGAGTCCGACACCAGTGGCAAGTCCTCGAAGGCCACTCGGCCTGGGTGGCATGGCGTCAAGTTTACATGGCGCGGTGCGCCGCCGCTGCAAAGATCAAGACGACGATTGCGTGGTGGCGCCACCACTTTCAAAAGCAGTGGTTTTTCGCCTGGCGCGCCGTCGCAAGAGACGCCAGAGCCCTGCGCCAGCGCGGCCAAGACGTCGCCCGGCGCCTTCTTGGCCACGCGGTGCGGCGATGCTTTGAGCAATGGCTCGTGTGGCGCCAGACGCAGCAAGCCAAGCACGCGTCGCGCGTGCGAGCGACGCACTTTTGCCTCCGTCGTGCAATCGATACGTGGCACGCTGCCAGCACGTTTCGTCGACGGATACACGTATTGAAACCGCGCGCCATGACGTGGCAACGCCAGCGCACGCTACGGTGCAATATGAGCCACTGGCGCCTCTGGCTCGATCGTCGGCGGCAACGCGCCTCGTCCAAGCAGCGTGCTCTGGTACGCCCACATTTTGATTCGAAGTGTGTACTCGATGGGACTAGGTGCACTGGACACGGACGTCGCTGGCGACTGTCTTTGGAGAGTGGTTCACCGTAGCCCGCGCACTCCAAGAACGCACCGTGACGGTTGCCAAAGCGCTTGCACGACGACGTCGCAAGCAGCTGCGAGACGCTGTCGACCGACTTTGGGCACGTGCTATCTTATATCAGCGCCTTCGAGTTCTCACCGAAGCCAATCTTGCGGCCGCGTTAACGTCCACCAGTCGCAAGGTGCTGCTGCAGTGGCGGCAGTATGCACGCACCAAGAGTAGCAGACGTCTTGCGCAAACAGAGGTGGCGACCGCGATGTCGATATTTCGTCAGCAGCGGGTCTTGCATCAGGTACGCTCCATCGATGGCTGCTGAGTTATCCCAATGCCTTTTAGTGGCATTCCGTCGCCCACGAACAGCGTCAACAGGTGCTCCAAGTTCGCCAGGCGCTACATTGGTACCGGTCGAGTGCAGCTGCGGCGGCATTCGCGACGTGGTGCGTTGCGGTCACCCGGTGGAAGCGACGCAAGGAGCACATCGCTGCGGCACTCTGTCACTGGCGACTACAGCTCCAGTCCAGCTGCTTTCGGCAATGGCGCAGCTTCTACTCGTCTCGAACCCAGCGCCGCGCAGTCTGCGTCCGCGCAGCCTGCGTGTACACACAGACACTCCTACATCGATGCATGGCTAACTGGAGACGCGTCCTACAACGCCGTCATGTACGCTCTACGCTCTAGCGGCGACCAGAGAACTCAAGTAGAGACACTGTAGCATGTGCTTGACGAGGTGCTGCGTCGACGGACAAAGCGCGACGTGACTGTCAAGCGCGGCTGCTTGCAGTTGTGGCGCCAAGTAGCCGCAGAGAAGCGGTGTCGGTACGCAAAGTTCAACCTGCTTTGGCAGCAAACCAGATCGACGACGCTCACGCGCATGTTTGACTCCGTCGCCAGTTCGATTCCTTTACGCATAAGGACGTAGGTTTTGCACGTGGCGGCGCCATACCATCTTGGGTCCTCGACTGCGTATCTTCCGTCGCGACCAGGCGCGGTCACTGCTTCACCTCGGTACTTGACTCGACTCTGGATTCTGGCACGACTGACCAGATATGGTAGTGTTTGGTGCTTGGGACCAGTACGTTGTTCTTCGCCACAAGTGTCATTCGTTCATGCGGCTCGTCGAAGGTAGTCTAGGCTCCTGGCATCGAGGTATGACACCTGTACATACATAGAGCGATGGCAGACAGTGTCGCTGGGCCAAGCCTACAGAGTTCGGCGCGCTCTTATCACCCAATGTAAACCCACCTATCGCGTAGGCGTGGGCGGTCTACTCTCGGAAGCGCTCGCACCACCGACGCAAGTACCTCACAGCGCTCCACCATTGGCATGCGGGTTTGCTCGGGGCTTGCTATGCCCACTGGCAACAGGTGGCTTATTTCCCGTGCACCGCGTCAGGAACTTACTCTTGGGTAGTGGATCAACCTGCGACGACAGCGACACGCGATCTTCCGGCGCTGGGCCACGCGACAACAGGTACCGCGTCTCTTCCGACAGCGCCGCTAGAGACCCTCTAGCGCCGTGCGATTGGCCAATGGAGCGACTTTGCCCTTTGCCAAAGCGAGTACGCGGCCTTGCTTGCTGCTGGCGATGCCACGTATGACAACCGATTGCAGTTACGCGTTTTGCGTGGATGGCAAGTCGCCACCCAGCACCAACTCTGGTGCAAGCAAGCCATCACGCACGCCGTCTGCATGCAAACTACGCGGTGTGCTGCTCGTGTGTGGCAGCACTGGGCGGCCTACAGCGCATACCGTGTCGCCAAGCGGCACGAAGCTGGCATGGCGCTCGCCTTGTATCATGCCACGCTGCTCAAGTCGATCTTCCGCAAGTGGCAAACGATTGGCCACGTACTCGCGAGCGCGCGTCTGGCGCTGCTGGCCACGACGCTGCGCCTTCAGATGCTGCAGCAGCTCTCATGCTTTCGGTACAAAATGACTTCTACGGTGCCAAGTTGATACGTGTCGCGGGGTTTAGAGCGTGGCTGGCATTTGCGCATACCTCCTTGCGTCACCGACGACTCCTCACGGTACTTGTTTTCGATTGAACAGGTGTAGAATGGTCCTAGTCGTATCTCGCCCGCGAACGAAAGCGGCGCCTACGCCGTCTTTTGCGAGCATGGCACGCATGCACCAGCGAACGCGCCCACCGTCGGCAACTTGCGGCAACACACCATCAAAGTAGCCAGCTCCGGCGCGGTCTAGGTACGTCCACGACCATGTGTGGGATGGCAATCCAAGGGCACTGTCTTGTGTGGCGTAGACGGGTTCGAAGCCAGCGTGTTGCTGGCCAAGCAACGCCAGAGAGCCGAGTCGACCGCCCGGCGATTCCTGGTGCGAAGCGTCGAGCGTCGGCTCTGGCTCAACTTTTGCAAATGGCGCGAATTCACCGACCGAAAACTACGCGCCAAACATGCGCTCACGTTTGCACTCGCGACGCAGACGTCGTCGTGCGTGCAGCACTGGCACCGACTTGCGCAGCACCAGCGCCGGCGACGTCCACACGTGGCTGCGATGGTGCGTTAGGATCCCTATACAAATTGCTGACTCATTCTATGCCAGCTCGCGGCGAGGACGACTCGGACTACGTGGCGGGTACTGCACCTCTGGCACCGACAGGCGCGACTTCAGAAAGCCGTGCGGCGCGCGGGGATCGAGCACCGACTCTGCGCGCTCGACCACGTCTTTGTTGCGTGGCACGCCTACAGTGCGGCCAAGCGGCACCGGTGCCACCTTGCAGACGATCTGGTGACATCGCGCCAATCGATGCTGGCGACACGCGTGCTAACGCTTTGGGCGGCGTGGGCTCACCGCCGATGCCGGTACGTGGCTTCTGCGTCGCGAGAATGGTAGGTTTAACGCTGGGTAGCGCGCGGACGGTCGTGCTGCGACCGCACAGTCTCTGCAAAGCTTACTGGCAGCGCTGGTGCCGCGCGTATAAGGTGGCCACCTACTTTGCATGGTATCGCATGCGTCGCGTGTTTCATCTCTGGGCGGCGGGCACCGATCTTCGACGGGCGCGCCGGACAACGACTGCGATAGCAGACGCGTTTGCCATACAGCGGACACTGGCTTTTTGGCACCAGACGACGCGATGCGCGGCCAACGGACGTCAGCATTTGCACGCCGCCCGCATACTGTACGAGACGCAGCTCCGGCGCAAACTGCTTCATGCGTGGGCGCGCCAGTGTCGCCGTCGAGAAAGTTGGTGGCAAGACGCAGTCGCCGTGTACGCTGCCACGCTTCGACGACGCCACGTACATCGCCCGAGTTTGCACTTTGTGGTATCTCATCTTATCCAGGTGCCGTCTGTCTGGGCGGCGTGGCAGACGTATTATTCCACCAAGAAAACACGAGCAGCGACGGCAAAGCTCGCTGCGTCTTGCTGCGAGCACGTGCGGCAGAAGCATGCGCTTTCTCGCTGGGGCGTGGTGGCGCAAGCGAGCCGCCTACACGCGTCGCATGCAGGTAGAACGCGAGCGAGTCGGCGGTACTAGTCACAGCATCTCTAGCGACAGCAACGGCGCACTGGCAATGCGTACTGTCCGGTCGCGTTCTCAGTGCGTGGGCGTCGCACGTGCGGGACACGCGCCGCCTCCAGCAGCAGTGCATTCGCATGGGCCAACTCTTGATGACGCGCGTCGTTGCGCAGGTCGTGGCGGCGTGGGTGCGCTTCACCGCGACGCGTCAAGCGAAAGCCGAGAAGCAGCTTGTGGCCATTTGCCACCGCAATAGAATGCTGCAAGGTGTCCTCTTCCTCGACTGGTGGCAGTGGACGACGCGACAGCGCCTGCGACGCCGCGCAGCAACACACTTTGCGCGAAGAGCCACGTCGGCGGTGTTTGCTCAGTGGCGCCGCTGTCTTGTACTGCGCAAGGTATAGCATGCAGCTGCCATCAATCGCCTCTGATCGGTACGTGTAGACCGAAAGCTTTCGCTCGGCCAAGGAAGGGCGCATCATGCGCGCGTGCTTTGAGCACTGGCAGACGTACTCCACAAGAGCCAGGTACACGACTAGCTGGTATTGTACGCGACGACGTCATCTGTAGAACACTGCGGTCCTGCCGCGTGACCATCGTGCACCAGCGAGATCGCGCGTGCTGCAGCCGCAGCTTCCAGGCATGGCGGCGTTGGACGACGCTCCGGTCCCTTAGCTACGGCGCCCGCCTTGCCTACTGTGAACGCTTGCTCTCGCGCGTTCTCGACGGCTGGCGCCACCATATTCACGTCCACCACGCGGCGGCGACGGTTCGAACTCAGTCCCGTCTAGTCTTGGGCCAACTCGCGCTCGATCTGCCCGCGACGTGGGACGCGTGGCAGTGTCTCTTTCGAGTGCGTCACTGGCATCGGCACGCGACCTATGGCGTCGTGTGGACCGGATGGCGCGTCTACGCGGTCGACCACAAGCGATTGCAGACGCACTCCATTGCGATAGCGCGACGGGCGGCAAGGTCGCTGCAGGCGCGCGCTCTGCAAGCGTGGCACCTCCATGCGCACCACGTTGTCCTGCTCCGCCGTGCGCTTGTCGCCAAGCGGCAGCGAGACCACGTGCTGACAATGCACTTGCGGCAGCGCGGCCGGCAGCATCGCCAAGCCGCCTTTACGCTCTGGCGCAACGCCGTGCTGGCAGCACGGTCTTTCTTTCACTGTCGACAGCGCCAGCGCAACGTGCGGATAATCGCTGTGGTGCTTGCAGCATGGCGTCACCGAAGTACGATGGCGCGACGCGTGCGCGAGATGCTACGCCACATGGCGTCATGGCGAACGCAGCGCGCAGTCCAAGTATGGCACCAACGACTCATCGCCCGCGCCCATATGCGAGTTGTCCTCTCTGTTGTGGACCGCTGGCGCCGCGACCAGACGCTGCACAAGGTCTGGCCTCGCTGGGCGACCGCGGCTTCGCGCCAGAAACGACTCCGACGCTTCTCGCTGGTGCGCGAGCAGAAAGTGTGGCACGAGGCTGTGCGCCGGTGGCAGTACAACATCCACATCATCCAGCTCGCGACCAAGAGCCGCCTTTATGCTCGATTGCGTCTCCTGAGCAAGCGCTTTGGCCAGTGGCGCCACAAGGCAAACTGGCTGAAATGCGTGCGGACGTTTACCATTCGCGTGACGTCGCAGACGTGGCGGAGCGCGTACGTTCGTCATTGGCGGCTGCACACCCAACGCGCGGCGATCGAGAGAAGCGCTTGCGACTACATGGCGCAGTTGCGCTGCCGCCAAGCATTAAGGGCCTGGACAGCTCGCAAGGCGGACGCGGTGCAGTACCGTCGGGCGACACGGTGTCACTTGCGGCACCTCTGGCGCCGGTGGCGCAGCGTCGCGCTCGACAACCGTGCGAGCTGGTGGTACCAACAGACCTTGATGCGAGCATCGATGACCTTCTGGCGCACGTTTTGCATCCACGAGCAGTCGGTCCGGTACCATCACGCGGTGGCCTCGCGCCGACGCCTCAAAGACGCCTGGGCAAAATGGCGAGACTACCAGTGGAAGCGACTCGCGACAGCGCAAGCCCGTGCGTTTGCTCGCTTCCGCCGGCTCCAGACGTGGGCGCTTTGAACATTCTGCATTCGTCGACTCATAAACGCTGTGTAGCGGCCTCGACGCATGGCTCTTGGGCATCGAGACGCAAGCGGCCGAGACGACGTTTGTGTTTTTCTAGACACGACTTGGGAGCTCACGCCTTTGGTGGGGTTCTAGGGCAATGGAAGCCGCGGCGACGGCGTTGTATGCGGCTCAGCTCCGGCGCCAGCATTTCCGTGGCTGGTCGCACGCCATTGTTCGCACCAAGGCGCAGCGCCAGCGACAGAAGGCCATGGTCCACACGTGGCTAACGCAGCGACAACAGCGGCATCTCAACCTTGTGTGGTGCGCGTGGGCGCGGGTGAGTCGCCGACATCGGGTCCTGGACCAGCATCGCGCTATGAAACACACTTCCGTGACGCAAGCGGCGTGGCAGCACTGGCTGCGGCATGTCGAGCACCAGCGCGTCCGCGCCAAGCAGGTCCACTCCGCCCAAGCGCTTTGGCGTGACATCTTGCTGCGCCGCACGCTGCACCATTGGCACATTTCTGTCGTTGCCGGCCGCGCCGAGAACTTGACTTTATAAATCTTGTGCGATAGTTTAGCATAGTTATTGTCAATAGAAGAGGTAGTTTACGGGTACCGACGCGCGTAGACGGCGGCGTGGGATGTTTCGCAGGCGGCTTGGAGGCGCTGTAGCCGATCGATCTTGTCGCACGTCGTGTAATGTGCAAAGTGCTCGCGCAGGGGCGACGTAAAGGAGAGCTCGAACGGTGCCCCGGGGTCGTCGAGCGCGACTGTTGGCACATGATCCGGCATCGCATTCTGGAATGACGTGGCGTGCGCCCGCGTCGCAAAGACCGCAATGTTTTTCAAAATCGCGCGGCCGACCGTGTCCTTGAGCGCGGCGTTGTGCCCCGGGGCCATCTGTACGAGATCGAACGCATACCCGAGGAAGCCATCGACACCGTCAATAGCTGGCAGCTCGATGCTCGGCCAGTGCGGATTTTGAAGTGGCACAAAGTTGATCGGACCCACGTGCGCGGATCGCTTGCGGAAGCGCCGGACGTGGTCGGCCGTCTCGACGACGACCATGGCCATCGCCCCAAAGCGCTGCTTGGCGATCATAATGCCAATACGCGGGTCCTCGAAGTAGCACATGTCGCAGAAGACATCGACAATACCGTGGTCGGCCTCGGCGGCCATGTACGCTTCGAGTGCAGAGCTCTGCGCAGCGATGCTTTGCGTGTGTCGGAGCTCCATGTCGATACGATCTTGGCGCGCAGCAATGTACGAGAGCACGGATGGCATGGTCGATGGCGGGTGCACGAGGCGAAATTCCGTTGCGAGCAAGTGACGCCAGACGGGCGCGTCGTGCCGGTCGAGTTCCGCGTGCCAGGAATGACACGTCTGCTGCAGCCGCCCGACACCGACGCCGTCCAAGTACTGCACAATGTGAGCCATGAGGTCGGTCGTCAAGCCCGACGACATGTAGTAGGCCGATGTGGCGGTCGGTGTGGCGGACCGCGAGGCGACGGGCGTTGGCGGCCGGGCACTCAGGTCCTTGGCGTCGTTGCCCAAGACCTTGGCGTGGAGCGCGCTCATGGCGCTGTTGGCGACGCCAAAGATGCTCGAGATGCGTGCTGCGGCCATGAGAGGAGATTGAGGAGTGAGCTTGTTGTTGCAACTGGCCGTGGTGCCAGTGCGGACTGTGCTGGCGCGCTCCGATTGGCTTAAATCACGTCGGGTAACCCGCCAGTATTCGCCAGCTGTTGATAAATTCAGCCAATCCAACAAAAGTAGACGTGTCGTGGCGCCACGTCATCAGTACGACCATCACTCTCGACACGCCCTTCGAGCAACGACACCAGACGCGTCGGCAGTCTGCTCCTCGACAAAGGATCTGGCCAGCGGACGAAGACAATCTCATCGAGCGCCGACAATTCCCTTCCTTTCGGCAGTACTAGCTCATTAGACGTTTTTTCATATATATGAATTCAACTCCATAGGTTAGGTGGCCTGCCATCGCGTGGTCACACAGTCTGCTTAGAGCACTGAGCCGTGCAATGCAATCGAGCGGCACAAAGGACAAGTCGTCTCGTTCTTGAACCATCGCACAAGGCACGTCTCGTGAAACGTGTGGCCGCACGCAGTCGAGAGGCTCGCATCCGCTCCCAGTGGGTCCAAGCAGATGGCACATTCGTGCGGTACTTTGGCCGGTGCAGCGCTCCACCGGTATGGCAGCTGAAGAAACGTCGCGACGAGGTAGCTAGGACCGTATGCGCCGCTCGACTCGGCGGCTGGCAGCCAGCGCGCGAGCTCGGCTGTGAAGGCTGGGAGGCCCCGGAGCCGCTCGTCCACAACACTCTTGTTGTCGACGGCAAACACAAAGCGGCGGCGCGGGAACGCGGCGGCAACAACGCTCTTTAGCGCCGCGTGGCCTGTGGTCGCAATCTCCTTGAGTCGCTGACGCAAGGCGAAGAAGTGCGAGTAGCGACGGTTCAAGATCCACCACACCTTGGTGCGCGGGTCGACGACGACGAGGCGGTAGCTCATGAAGGCGTCCGAGCCCGCGACGTTGCCCTTCGTGCACGTCAAAACCAAGGTCGCGCCGAGGCTGTGGACGCGCGGGCCGAGGTCGGGCGTCGTCGACTTCATCGAACGTTGCTCACTGACCACTGACTCTGCCGAACGTGGCGAGATTTTACGCACTAGTACTTTAAGGAAGGCAGTAGGGCGACGTCTTCGAAACAAGCGACACGGCTTCGGCTCTCTACACGTATTGTCACTTGCGTAGTGCTCATTATTGTGTACGTTATATGTCAACACCAACGCGCTATAGAAGCGTGCGCCTCGGCCGTCGAGCATGCGCTGCTTGGCCGCCTCTTTGGCACTCGACTTCGGCGCTTGCCATTCGTGAGCGCCCAGCTCTCTTGAGGCGCAACAGAGCTGGGCGCCGCCTTGCCGAAGCAAAACGACATGCAGTGCAAACAAAAGCGCTTTGTGCTTTTGACCATTGACAACGACGTCCACCGTGAGGTACCCCGGGGCAAGCACCACGACCTCGACGAGCGGATTGTCGTACGCGACGGTCACGATGCGATACGATAGCTGACGTCACCCCGGGGCACACGCTCGACCTCTTCGTTCGTCATCTTGTCGCCTTGCCGCTCGCTCAGGACGTGAACGTCATCGAGGGTTGGGGTTGGTCGAACAACGGGATCGCAGCGGCATGCAAGTTACCAAGTGGTGAAAAGATTGTGGAGAGAGTGTCATAAACAGGTTTCAACAAAGGTATATCGAAGCACTACCGGTGCTTGAGAATGTGCAGTGTGTTGTCGATGCGCTTGAACGTGTTGTTCATGCACTGGATGACGAGATCGTCAAAGGCCGCGGCGGCCTCTTCGTCCGTCTTCTCAGGCGTCGAGACGTCGACGAGGTAGTTGACGTCGTCGCGGTGGCGCAACTCCGGCATCTCGGCTGGGATCATGAGCACAAAGAGCGAGACGAGCAAATGCAAGTGCCTTCGCACAACGTTGAACGCGTCGCCGCACGTTTTTTGAAATTTGACAAAGTCTGGCGTCCCGACGCCGCCAAAGACGTGCGCCATCTCGGGCGTAAACACAAACGGCGTCTTCTCGCGCTTGATGCCGTACTAGACAGAGTAGACGCATGAGATGATGCTCATCGAAGCAAAGTGTTCTCTACCTGGTACTTCATAAAGCCGAGGAAATGACCGAAATCAATGTGGAAATACCGGCCTTGTTTGGTGATCTATCCGTCGACAAGTCAAAACATCTGCTGGTGCAAATGAGATACCATAATGTTGTCATTGTGCCGGTCGCCAATGCCGAGGACGTACGTCGCCACGCAGTAGCCCGCACACGACCGCATGAAGAGGTCGACCGCGACCCGGTAGCTGCGGGCGTCGCCGTTGTTGGCTTGGATCCAGTCCAGAAAGCTCACGTCGTTGAACGCACCAAAGATGCCGCCCATCGCGCCACCCCGCTTGTGAACGGCTGCGGTCGTCACGGAGTGCAGGACGACCTGCAACATGCCCGTCATGGGGCCGGTCGAGACGCACTTGTACGGCTCCATGGCGAGGTCTTTGCCGTCTTCACGCCACATTTCGTCCATGAGACGAATGAGCTGCAGCGTGAGGCAGTCCTGGCGCACGTCGTCGCCGGCCTTGAAGATGATAATGACCGGGTCGCCGCCTTCTTCGGCGTTTTCAAACTCGAGCCAGAGTGGCAGTTTGGCCGACGACATGATTTTGCACTTCTTGACGACGATCTTGCCAACCTCGACGCGCGAGTCGAGCGGCAGCTGGTACGTTGCGGGAAGGGTGCCATTGAGCTCCTCGAGACGCTGCTGCATGGTGACCTTGATCTCGTCCTTGGTCTTCCCGCTGTGGTGTAAGGCCTTGACCTCTTGGCAAATCTGCTCGAACGCGCCTTTCTCCGAGAAGAGTTTGTCCTGGAGCTGCAGAATCGAGCGCATCTTGTTGGAGCACACGTCCAAGTACGTGTTGAGGAGCACACCGTAGCGCTCGCGGACTTGGTCGTTGTACGACTCGACCTTCATGCTCCAGAAGAGGTCAAACCCGATCTGGTTGGGGTTCTTGATCGCGCGCTCGATCAAATGCTTGGCGAGCGGCGACACGTGGTGGCTCTCGTACTTGAGCGCCTGCACGAGCTGCGGCAAGAAGTAGCTGAACGTCGTGTCGGCCATCTCCGCGAGTTTGTCGACCGCAAACTGCCGGACCGTCTCGTGCGCAAAGGGTTTGTCGAGGAGGATGATGTACGAGGCTGGGTGCGACGCCTGCGCCCACTGCGGCAGGAGCGTGAGCATTTCGCTGACGTCCGCCGGGCAGAGCCAGTTGACGCACGACAAGACGTGCCGTAGCGCCTCGAACGACGTCATGAACTGGTGCCGGTTGCGCCACAAGACAGCTTTCTGAAAGTCGCTGAGCTGGAAGAGCGGGTCGCGTTGGATGATGCGACGGAGGTCGTCCATGGCCTCGGCCGTGTCGCCGTTGGCCACGAGCTTGATCGCCAGCGCCCACTCCTCGCGCTCTTGGCGCGTGTTGGCGGACATGACAAACTCGCGTGCACTGTCGGCGGCCTTGAGCTTGAAGACCCACGTACTCTGCTCCTTGCGCGTGCCTTTCGAGACCGCAAACGTCGTGTAGCGCTCGTTGAGCTCGTCGGCATTGAGCACCTGCGCGCCGAGGAGGTTGATGGTGAACTTCGCGGGCGCCGACGGGTTCTCGGCATACGAGAGCGAGTTGGTCGCTTGGCTGAGCGTAAAGAAGCGCATTTGCCACTTGGTGAGCTGATGGTGCTTGCCTGTCTTTTTGAGATAGCCCGTCTTGAGAACAGCTTCGCTCCGGGACGAGACGTCACCGAGCGCGTGCTCGGTCCAGTCAAACTTGATCGGACCATTGTACGACGTAAACGTCATCTACAAGTGTACTCGATGCTGAGCCGCCACACTTTCTTGTCCCATCATAATGTCAGCAAACACGTACCTGCACAACCGGGCGGTCCAGGTCGACGACGTGTGGCACCGGCCCCGAGCTGCACGTGTAGAGGTTCTCGAGCATACCAACGTACTGGTCGCCTTGGACAAAGATGCCGTCGACATCAAAGAGGTTGACGCCGGTCGTGAGAATCCGGTCGTACGACCCGGCGTCAGCACCCGGCGCGCGGATGCCAAAGAGCGTCACGACGACCCGCGCCGACTTTGGTAGTTCACTAAGGCGCAAGCTACTGCGAAACCACTTGGGCTCGATCCACATGGCAATGAGAGCGTCGTTGGCTTGGGCTTTGAGCGTCGTGTCGGACGTCTCGCCGAGCGTCTCGAGGAGCTGGCCGCCATTGAAGATCTCGACACTGGCGACGACGTTGGCAAACAGCAGCGGGCGCCGCTCCGACACGATCTCGTGTGCCGTGCGACGGAGGTGGGTCGTGTAGCGCGGGATGTTGACCACCCGTTGAATACAAATGCGGAGGGGCTCGTCATAGTGACAGCTCTTGTTGGCCGAACCCAAACTCTGCGGTGACACCACCGGTGCGGTCGTCGGAGGATGATGCGTTGAGTGCTCTTGCCAGTCGTTGCCGAGCGTGGTCATAGCGATCTCGAGCGACCGCGTCGAGGTTGCAAACGTCGGTTCGTCGTAAATGTTGCCGCCAAGCACGCTCCGCCGCAGCGCTTCTTGGATTTTGGACTCGTGCACGAGCGTGAGACAGAGTGTCTTCTTTGTGATGAGACACTCGCGCACGTGCTGGTAGTTGCTAACTTCGCGGAACGGGTCGATCATGTAGTCGCGGTACCCCGTAAACTTGAGGACGTACTCCTTTGGGTCGTACGGATGCAATGGCGTCGCATCCAGCATGTTGTTGTAGCAGTCGAATATGTGCTCGACCGTCTCCTGCACCGTATACGTTGGCAGCGTGATCATGCGCACTTCGTTCGGGCCTGTCGCGCTCACTTCGGCGAGCTGCAGCATGCGCCGGTAGATGATGTTGACGCAGTGAAACGCCACCGAGTTGCAGAGGTGCTTGACCCAGAGGTCGTACTCGGCTTCGGACTCGGCTTGCATCGTCCACGTCCGGTTCGTCGTCACGAGGTCGATGCCATACTGCAGCGTCGCACCCTTTACAATCGTAGGCTGGATCGCCGAGACCGCGTCGAGCTCGATTTGGCCGCGCAGCAAGCTCGCCTTCTCGTCGTTGCTCATGCGCCGCCCGCTCTTCTCGGGCTTCTTCTTGTAGTATTTGAGCACCTTGTTCTCGAGCTCCATGTAGCGTTTCTTCATGGCCTTGTTGTTCTCGCCGCGCTTCTTGAGCCAGCCGCCAAAGACCGGACCCGCCGACTCGGCGCTACCGACCACCGGGTCGAGCTGGAGCAAGTGCAACGGAAGGCGCGCGACCGTCTTGACCGTCGTCAGCGCGACGTTCAAGCCATTCTTGTGCGCGATCCAGTCGTCGCTCTCGAGCCGGTACTCGGGCGTATTGGCGCGAATTTCGAGCGTCTCGGTCGAAATGTGCGCGTGCACGTCCTTGAGAATCGCGCCCACCGCCTGCCGCAGCGCCAGCGTCTCCTTCGAGTGCACGAGGCCAGGCACCGGCTGCCAGCGCGGGCCGTTGGACGAGTTGGCGCGCGCGAGGGTTGCTCCGAAATGGGCAAACGGGTTGAGGTCGCTAAACGACGGTAGCCGCAACGACGGCGCCGACGAGAGCGACCGCTGGCTACTGAGGCTCGTCGACGAGAGCGACCGCCGGACCGACGCCGCGTTGTACATCATGTTGCCGCTCGAAATAACGAATACTACTAACCGACCAACGTCGCTTGGAGCCACCGGAGCCAACGCCCAAAACGAACGATAAATCGGTTCCACCTTGTCTGAATCGAGGAGCTCGTCGAGTCGCTCAACTCCGCTAGTTCACTGGGCACAGCGGACAAAGGCTCTCAGTACAAGTGGACGATGCCACGGACAGTTGCAAGCTTGAGTCGCAGGCGACAAGAGCCTCGGCCATGCGCCCTCGACAATCCACCGACAGAGTGCATGCAATAAGATTGATCTTATTTATGTTTCCAAATGTGGAGCGCGTTGTCGACGCGCTTGAACGTGCTCTTCATGGACTGCACAATGAGAGTGTCAAACATGCTCGCTACATCTTCGTCGCGCTTGTCGGCGGCGAGCACCGTCACAATGTGGTTGATGTCTTCGCGCTGGCGCAATTCTGGCATCTCGGCCGGGATCATGAGCAGGAGGAGCGCGACGAGCAAATGCAAGTGCCTTCGCACAATGTTGAGCGACTCGCCGCAAATGGCTTGGAACGTCACAAAGTCGGGCTTTCCGATCGGCTTGCCGTCGGGCTTGCCGGGGCCGCTGAGCACATAGCCCATCTCGGGCGTAAACACAAACGGTGTCGTCTCGCGCTTGATACCAAATTGATACTTGGAAAAGCCCAGAAAGTGGCCGAAATCAATGTGGAAGTACCGCCCCTTCTGCGTCATCTAACGTCACACAGCATGAGCGGCCCGCAGCAGGAGACGCCGACGTACCATGATGTTGTCGTTATGGCGATCACCAATGCCGAGGACGTACGTGGCAACACAGTAGCCGGCGCACGACCGCTGGAAGAGCTCGACAGCCGCCTTGTAGCTGCGTGAGTCGGGCGCGCCGTTGTTGGCCTGAATCCAGTCGTAGAACGACGCGTCGTTGAAGGCGCCCGTGACGCCGCCACCGCGCTTGTGGATCGCCGCGGTCGTGATGGCGTGCTGGACGACTTGGAGGATACCCGTCATGGGGCCTGTCGAGACGCACTTGTACGGCTCCATGGCCAAATCCTTGCCTTCGTCACGCCACATTTCGTCCATCAAGCGAATGAGCTGCAGCGTGAGGCAGTCCTGGCGCACGTCGTCGCCGGCCTTGAAGATAATGATGACCGGGTCACCGCCTTCTTCGGCATTTTCAAACTCGAGCCAGAGCGGCAATTTGGCCGACGACATGATCTTGCACTTCTTGACGATGATGCGACGGACTTCGACACGCGGATCGATCGGCAGCTGGTACGACGCCGGCAGCGACTGGTTGAGGGCGTCCAGACGCTGGTGCAGCGCCGCCTTGAGCTCGTCCTTGGTTTTGCCGGCATGGTGCAGCGTCTTGATCTCTTGGCAAATCTGCTCAAAGATGCCCTTTTCCGAGAAGAGTTGGTCCTGCAGCTCGAGGATCGAGCGCATCTTGGTCGAGCACACGTCCGCGTACGTGTTGAGGAGAAGGCCGTACCGCTCCTTGTACTGCTCGTTGTACGACTCGACCTTCATGCTCCAGAAGAGGTCAAACCCGATCTGGTTGGGGTTCTTGATCGCACGCTCGATCAAATGCTTGGCGAGTGGCGACGCATGGTGGTTCTCAAACTTGAGCGCTTGGACGAGCTGCGGCAAGAAGACGCTGAACGTCGTGTCGGCCATCTTGGCGAGCTTGTTGACGGCAAACTGGCGCACGTCTTCGTGCGCAAACTCCATGTCGAGGAGCTCAATGTAGCCCGCGGGGTTGGCCGGGTCGGCCCACTCGGGCAGGAGGCTCACCATCTCCTTGATGTCGTCGGCGTTCGACCAGTTGACGCACGTCAGCACGCGCGGGAGGTACGCAAATGAGTTCATAAAGTCGCGGCGCGACGCCCACATGATGCTCTTCTGAAACGGGTTGAGCCGGTACAGCGGGTCGAAGTCGATGAGCGTCCGGAGCTCGTCGAGCGCGCGCTCGAGGCCTTCCTGGGACGTGGTCATGCGCGACGTGATCGATCGGCGCGGGCTCGAGCGCGCGTCGCTGCTGCGGCTCTGCTCGTCGTCCGAGACTTCGGCGTTGGCCAGAATACGCAGCGCGCTCACCCACGCCTGGCGCTCTTGGCGGCTGTTGGCGCTAAAGATGTACTCGCGCGTCGTGTCGGCGGGCTTGACCTTGAAGACGTACGTCTCCTCTTCGCGGCGCGTCGAGACCGTGAGCACGGACGTGATTTTCTCATTGAGCTCGTCGGCGAGGATGATGGCGGCATTCGCGAGCGGGATGTGGTGCTTGGCGACGCCGTTCTGGAGCTCACCGTACGAGAGCGTCGCCGTCTCTTGGCTGAGCACGCACCACCGGCGCTGCCACGACGTGAACGAGTGCATTTTGCCAGTTTTGCGGAGCCAGCCAGATTTTTCCAGCGACTCCATCGACGAGAGGCGGTGCTGGCTACAACTGGTCTGGAGGTCGCCGCTCGCGTTGACCGTGCTCCAGTCAAATTCGATCTCGCTGTGATACTGCGCCAGCGACATCTACAGTATCGCGTCACCACACGCCATTGCATGCGGTCGATACGTACGTGGAGAAGGGGCATGTCGGGGTCGACCACATGCGGCACGGGGCCGCGGTGGCACTGGTACAAGTTTTCGAGCAGCTGCACGTACTGCTCGCCTTGCACGATGAGCCCGTCGACATCAAAGACGTTGATGCCGGTCGTGAGGATGCGCTCGCGCTCGACGTTGTTGTTGTTGCTGGCAGTCGGGCGACCGGCGCCGACGCTGACGCCGTACAGCGTCAAGACGAGCCGCGCCGTGCGCGGGATCTCGCAGATCTTCATCTTGGTGCGGAACCAGCGCGGCTCGAGCCAGAGGCCGATGAGCGACTTGACCGGCGGGTTGCCACGCGGCGGAAGGCCCTTGAGCCGAATGTCGGAGGTTTCGCCCACGAGCTCGAGACGCGAGCCGGCGTTGTAGAGCTCGATGGTCACGACGCAGTTGGAGTACAAGAGCGGGCGCTGCTCGACCCCCATCTCGTGCGCCGTCCGCGCCAAGTGCGTCGTGTACGTCGGCACGTTGAGCACGCGGTTGATGCAGAACCGGAGCGGTTCGCGGTAGTGGCAGCTCTTGCCGACGCTACTCGCGTCATCGGTTTGGTTGTTGGCATCGGTCCAATCGCCGCCGAGCGTCGTGTAGTTGGGCCGCGTCGACGCCCGCGGCCGCGAGAGCAGGTCGATCGGGCGCAAGTCGACGCGCTTGAGCAGCGCCTCCTTGATCTTGCTCTGGTGCACGAGCGTGAGACAGAGTGTCTTCTTTGTGAGGAGACACTCGCGCACGTGCTGGTAGTTGCCCACTTCTTGGTTGCGGTCGATCATGTAGTCGCGGAAGCCCGTGATCTTGAGGACGTACTCCTTTGGGTCGTGCGGGTGCAGTGGCGCCGCGTCGAGCATGTTGTTGTAGCACTCAAAGATGTGCTCGACCGTCTCGCCGACCGTGTAGTTGGCCAGCGTGACCATGCGCACTTCGTTCGGGCCCGAGACGCTCACCTCCGCGAGCTGCAGCATGCGCCGGTAGTAGCCGTCGACCGAGAGGAAGTTGACCGACGTGCAGAGCGCGCGGACCCACTCGTCGTACTCGCCGTCATTCTCGGCCTGCAAGTACCACGTGCGCTCGGTCGTGACGAGCTCGATCATGCGGTTCGTCTGCGCCGTCGAGCCGGGCCGGACGGACGAGACGTTGTCAAGCTTGATGCTGCCCTTTGGCTTTTCGCGGCCAAAGAGATCGCGCTTGTGGTACGTCAAGACGCGGTTCTTGAGCACAAAGTAGCGCCGCTGGAGCGCCGTGTTGGTCTCGCCGCGCTTCTCGAGGTACCCCGCCAAGGCGACGCCCATCGTGTCGGGCAGCACCGACGTGTTCGGGTCCAAAATAAGCAGGCCCATCGGGAGCCGCGCGACCGTCTTGAGCGTCGGCGTAATGTTCATCTTGGTGTTGGCGTGGGCCAGCCAGTCGTCCTTCTCGAGGCGATACTCGGGCGTATTGGCGCGGATCTCGAGCGTCTCGGGCGAGACGCGGCCGTGGACTGCCTCGAGGATCTCACCTACGGCTTGGCGAAAGGCCAGCGTCTCCTTCGAGTGCACAAGGCCTGGCACCGGCTGCCAACGCGACGACTCGCGCCGGCCGTGGTGCGCGAACGGGTTGAGGTCGGAGAAGCTCGGCGTCCGCGCGGAGGCGGCCATCGAGTAGCTCGACATCGAGCTCCGGCTGCTGGCCATGCTCTCTTGGTTCGACACCATCTTCGCTGCCTCGTCCAGGCGCCCAGCCAGTCCCCAAATCGAAATTGACCTCGGCCGTGACACGACGCTGACAACCCTCGCATCCGGATACGTGCGTCCTTATCCGGACCATAAAAAGACGCGCTCGTGTTGCACGCTCTGCACAGTGTGCTGGCCACATATCCCTACCTCTCTTACGCCTCATGCGCGGGGCCTTGCCTCGCATTCCGTCGCTTCGGTCGAGCGCGTCGGTGGCGGTCGACGGGCTGGCCGACCGAGAGTTGCGTGTTTTTCGGCAAGAATACGATAAGAAATCAGTTTTCACAATCCACCCCACTGCCCACCAATCCACCGGCGCGTCATTCACACCAGTTGCTTTGCTTTGGCAGAGACCGTCCGTCTTTTCGCTGTGGACGCTCGTTGTGTACGCTCCTGTAGACTCACTCCTTTGTCGTCGTCGTGAGCACAGACAACTATGCATGGACATGGCGCTGCGACTAGAAAGGGCAGTTTTTTGAATATGTGAGGAAGAAGCCGATGCACGTCGAAACGCGAGCGCTTCGAGAACCGTCGACGCAGCCGCCACAATCGTCATCAGAGGACACCAGCTGCATCCAACGAGCCTCGACATGTCGTGCGCGAGAACATCAACAAACCGAGGCAGAGGGGATCGGTCGGACGTCCGTTCATCAGGTGGAAGCCGAGACTTCACGCTCATCAACCAAGTTGCCGTTGGCCACTACCGTAGCCTTTGTGCGTGGGATCCAGCGCCCCTCTGATGTATTGCATCCATCATCGTCATCCACTGCGTCGGGTGCGGTTTTCTTTGGATAATACAAGGTCAGGTATATATAATATGCGCTGCGGCGTAACACTGGTGCTTCGGGACTGTACTTTTAACCCTTGTAGCGGCCCCCGCGGGCTAAACGAGTGCGATCAAGTGCTATGCGCTGTGTCCGACGCACAGGTGGCCCTATGCTGCGTGAGTCCGGATCAGTCCCTTCCTCGACGATGGTGATTGCAGAACCGGTGGTTCACACTGGAACACGATTGGTGGCGGCAGTGCAGCTCGTATGGTTCACCCGCACCATGCGCTCCATGAAGACGACCGTGTCGCACATGATTGCACAGGTTTGTGAAATGAGTTGTTCGGAAATGGATGGACGAGAGGTGTAACGGTCTGCGCTCTCAAGCTGCCACGTATATGGTCGCAGATGTGCAAGGTGAATCAGGAGGACCGTAGATTCACGTAGATTTCGGCATCAGGTGCTCGTGATGTGGGTAACGATCCAACCAGCGTGCGGTCGAGACGACCGACGTGTCCAATGACGTGGCAAAACGAGCGTCGAGAAGATGAAATATGCAACAGCAATCATCTCGTCAACAGTACGACAAGCTTTACCACTGGGTGTGCGACTATTATGCATGGAGTGCTGGATGAGCTCGCTTGTGTGTCGAGCGTACGCACAAGCTACTTGACGGACGCATGCTGGCGCAAGGGTTCGTCAAGAGCTTGTGAATCAGGATCGCTACGGTCATCAAGGCTTTGCATTTTGCAGTATCAATATGAATCGATTCTCGTTAGCAGCTTGTCACTTCCTAGAACCAGCCCACACAGCTCGGCCCCGCGTCGCCATGCACGTCGGACGCAGGGACCACTGTGAGGCAAAGTGTCTTCTTGGTTGCACAGCACGCGCGCACGTGCGGGTGGCCATCCAAGTATTGGCTCCAATCGACCAAGTAGTCGTTGTCATCAATCAGGAGCACGTACTCGTTGACGTTGTACGGGTGCAGTGGCACACCGCCGAGTTTGCACTTGAAGCATTCGAAAATGTGCTCAATCGTCTCGCCCACCGTGTACGTGGGTAGCACCACGAGTCGTACGGCGTTGAGCGCGGCGTCACTCACTTCTGCGAGCTGCAGCATGCGCCGGTAGAACCGGTCAACGACGTCAAAGCGCACCGAGTGGCAGATCGCGCGGACCCAATCCTCGTACTCGGCGTCCGTTGCTGCTTGAAGGCTCCACGTTCGCATCGGCGTCACGAGCTCCAGCGTGCGCTCGGTGGCCGGTCGCACGCTCGACACTGTATCCAGCCGAATTGTGCCCTGGATCTGGTCGTTGCCAAAGATCGTGCGCTTCGAATACGTCAAGACGCGGTCTGTAAGGACGAACGACCGCTGCTTGAACGCCGTGTGTAGCTTCCCGCGCTTGCGGAGGCATCCGCGCAAGCACGGGTACGTCGGTTCGGCCGCGATGGTGGCAACCTGGGACGAGGTCAAGGCCAGGAGTCCCATTGGAAGCCACGCGACGGTCTTGATCGCTGCCGGCGGAGTGCTCTGTTGACCCATTCTTCTCTTGTGGAGAGTCACTGCGACGTTGTACGAGCTGTCCGGAGTACGTTGATTTTTGAAGTTTGCACCAGGATCAAGGGAAACGCAACGTTTGAAAAATTCACGGAAAATGGTGCAAATATTTTAGTCGCGTTCGGTTGTTGCACCAAGCCAAAGGAGAATGCCATCGAATCTCGCTTGCGCAAGAAATGTGAGGGTTGACAGGCCTGTTGGCATGTAGGCACACGAGAACTGGGGTGTATGACGTGTCGTGCACATGTTGTGGGGGGAGGGTGAGACGTGCGGGGTAGGTCAAAATGCCCACCTCGGAGTCAGCTCTCGGAGTCGGTCGCATTCATTGGCAGGTGTCCGCGTGGTTTAGGGTCCGCATGTGCTGTCTTGGGACGCTAGCGTTTTTCCAACCGGGGCTTTCTGCAGCAATCTTGCTGCATCCAAGCCGTCTTACGCCGCGACGTCCGAGATGTTGCGAGTCAGTCTGAATCCATACAACCAAGTCTCAGAGTGAGCAGTCTCTGTCATCAGTCTCCGTCGCCCAGCGCAATTGTCGTGGTACAGCGTTCTGAAATCATGCCTGCCAACTCCCAGCCGAGGACTGCTAGATCGAAATAAAAGGCAGCGCATGATGGCCATCTTGACGAGCTTGCGGTTTCGTCAGGTCTGGCGTCAGTGGAGCCACTCAAAGAGTCCACCTCAAAAAGCTACCGTCGTCAAACGACAAGGTCCTTGATTTTTGTCGCTTGTTGGTGCATACCATCCCAAGGCTACCTCGTAGCTACCACCGACAAGCAACATCTATCACCAATCGTACACCAGTACACGGTGGAGTGCACATCTCTGCTCAACGGACAGCAGCGGAAGAAGACAGTCGCACGATGAGGCCTGTCGAAGGCTTGGAATCTGCTGCTTCTCATCGCAAATGGGGCAAAGGACCCTTCTTGACCAGATTTGTCGCCGCCGTCTTCTCCCCACTGAGAAGAGATCCGCGGGTTGAGGGCGTGACACGCCTGCTGTCGGTTCGCCATTGCGTTTTGAGTTTCGATGCAAGCCGTCCTTTCTTCATTATCCAGGAAACAGGATGCTGCGTCACGAAGCTCAAACTCAACCACGCGGTTTCATGGCGAGGCGGCTCGTCACGGATCACATGGCGCCAAGCTACTCGGTCGCCACCGCCTATTTTTGTGCGGCCGAAACTGAAACCAAGGGTATATAAGAGATGCATCTTTGCTGAAACTCAATCGTTAATTGTGGCGCGGCGCCACGTTTACGGCCCGACAGACGTCAACAGAGCGCGCTCGCTTCCACATTTCGCATACATTCGTCGGCGGTGCCGTGTTTCAAACGGTTGTATTGGACGTTATTTTTGGCAATTTGGTGCTATTTGTGGCTCGGCTTGGTAGAGGCACGAATCTCGTCGGCGTTGGTTCGAATATTATTCACACGTCGTGTCAATTCCTATCACCCGAGCGCCCGCTTGCCGCCCCAGAGATGCAGAAGGAGGCCACGACCGAGGCCCGCGCGCTCCTCCGCGACGTCCACGTCGTCGCCGCCCGCGTCGCCAAGCAGCTCTCGGACGAGGAGCAGACGCTCCGCGCCAACGTGCCGCAGTACGTCCAGGGCCGGTCGCGCTACGCGAGCGATCACTTTATCACGTCCATCGTGCAGTTCCCCGCCCACATGACGACGCCGATCGCGGCCACGAGCCCGAGCGCGGCGCGCGCGGCGCGAGGTACGAGCGGCTGGCTCCACCTGCATACAAAGCAGCAGACGGACAAGAAGCTCAAACTCAAGCGCCGCTTTGTCGAGATCCGCGACAAATTTCTCTACTACGCCAAGTCGGACATTGCCAAGCAAAAGGTGCTCTTGGCGCTCGACGACGTCTCGACCGTCATGCCATCGCCGATGGAGCACTTTGGCATCGTGCTCGTGACGCTCACGTCGTCACTGCTGCTCGTGGCCGAGACGGATGCCGATTACATGCGCTGGATCTCGGAGCTCTGCCGCTTCATTCCTTACCAGCGCGTCCACGCCGTCTTTCGGCGCCGCATCCAGCAGCTCGAGGTCGACCTCTCACATCTCAATTCTCAAATATCTCACGCCACCATATCGTTGTAGATGGAGGCGACGCCGGCCAAGACGGGCGACCTGCACACGGTGCTGTCGCCAACATCCACGGTCGGCGAGTGCATTCGGCATTTCCTGCTGCTGTTTCACCAGCAGCGCCGCCGGAAGAGCTTCCTGCACCCCGAGCACGAGTATGTGCTCAAGCTCACGGGGTTTCGCGACTACTTTCTCGACTGGCTACGCCCGATCGTCGACTACCAGTCGGTGCGCGAGTGCCAGCTCCAGAAGAAGGTGCTCCGACTCACCTTTGTGCACGTCTCGACGCTCGATAAGAAGCCGCTGAGCCTCCCGCTGGCGTTTGCACCGCTCTTGTCGCCGCGCGTCGCGTCGGTCGCCGAGAGCTACCTCCTGCCGTCGCCCGATGGCCCAACACAAAAAAGCGCTGACGTCGACGAGCCGCTCCAACTCTGCATCCACCGGCTTGCCAACGTGTCGCCGACCACGCTGTACCGCGACCGAACCCGGCGCGAGGTCAAGCTCATGGCCAAGCCGATTGTTCACCGGTTCCTTTTTGTGCGGCTGCAACTCGTGGACGGCGCCAAGCCCGTCGAGAGCTCGCTCTTTGAGACGGACCTCACGGAGCTGACGCCCCACGGCGGCTCGGCCGAGTTTGCACCGCCCACTTGGTACCCGCTGTCGCTGCTGCCGTCGCAAATGTCGCGGTCGCTCCGTCTCGTGTGCACGGTGTTCGCCGCTTCGAAACAGTATCTGATTGCCAAAGGTATATGCATCGAAATGTATCAATGTGTCAATCACGTGGGCCAGACGATGCGCACTGCGAGAAGATTGCGAGCACGGGCTGCCACCTGTTTGATGTCCACAGCATGATGGTGCAGGGCGACCGGTCCCTTGCGCTCTACGACAACCTGGCCGACCTCACGACGGGCCCGCTGCCGTGCGGCGTCGAAGCGGGCCAAGGCTACATGCAGGTACCCTTGTCCTGTATGCTGGGGGAAACCATACGATGGATGGCAGGTTGAATTTTGCTCGGCGCCCATGACCCGCATCAAGTACTCGCCGACGCCGTCGATGCGCCGAAGCAGCATCCGCGCGAGCCTGAGCGACACGAACCTCTCGATGCTCGGGCAGTCGTTCTTTACCATTTCAGAGCCGTCAGTGCTCAAGGAAGGGCCGCTCGCCAAGCTCAGTGCCCGACCGTGGCATGTTTGGAAGGAGCGGTGGTTTGCGCTCAACGGCGACACGTGCTGCCTCTGTATGTCGGAGAAGCGCCACTCGATCCGGTCCATCTCGGTCTCGCTCTCGGGCGCGACCGTCACGACTGCCGACAAGCTCAACCAGACGTACACGTCGTTTCCCGTCAACAAGAGCACAAAAAAGGAGTACCAGACGTGGTGCTTCTCGGTGCAATTACGGTACCAGAAGACCAAGTCGATTGTGCTCCGGGCGCCGACCAAGCAAGAGCGCGACGACTGGATGCACTTAATCTCGGTCGTCATTCAAAAGACGGCCGACATGATGTGGGAACGCCGGCTCGAAGACACGATGACGCTGCGCAGCAGCATGCTCGACATGAACAAGCCCGAGCCCGACGAGCGCCTCAGCATTCCGCACACGCAGGACATTATGAACAACGTCCGCGGCTCGATGCGTCTCTCGTCGTGCTCGACGATTTGGTCGTCCTCTGGGTCGCTTTCGGAGATGGCGGTCGACACGTCGGGATCAACGTCGTCGTCGTCGTCGGCGTACATGGCCCACACCATCTCGACGGGCGCGACCATGGCCGCCTTGAGTTCTCTCCTTGCGCTCATTGAGCAAGACCCGCTTTACCGGCTCTCAAGCTATCAAAAGTCTCTGCTCTGGAGCCACCGGTCGTTTGTTGTGAGCCACTTCTTTGTGCTGCCGCGCGTGCTCTCGTGCTTGACGTGGAGCGACACGAGCCAGCGCAACGAGATGCTCGAGCTCCTGCCCAAGTGGTCGAGTCCGGCGCACATTTCCGGGTACCTCGCGCTCCTGGACGCCGAGTTTGCCCACATGGGCGCGGTGCGTCGCTTTGCGCTCACAAAGATGGGTGCTATGGACGACCTCACGCTCGCGAGCATTTTGCCGCAGCTCGGTACGTTGATCTATGCCTCTCGATCTAGCGGGACTGAGGCTCATGGACGTTCTCTCCTGTCTAGTCCAAGCCATCAAATGGGAGCCGTACGCGACGTCGCAGCTCGTGACGTGGCTCATTGAGCGCGCGCTCGTGAACCCGTCTCAGATTGGGTTTGCTCTCTTTTGGACGCTCAAGGTCGAGACGTACGTGGCGCGGTGGTCGGAGCGGTTCCGGCTCGTGCTCGACGCGTACCTGGCAGTCGTCTCCAAGCCTATGGCGTCGATTCTATCGCTGCAAGAGGCGCTCTTCTCGCCCGAAGGCGAGCTCCACCGCATTGCCAAGCGCGTCAAGAAGCTCAAGGCCAACGCGAGCATGCACGAGGTGACGGTGCAGCTGCGGCACATGCTCTCGGACCTCAACGTACTCCTTCCTCCGTCGTACCAACTGCCGATCGACCCGCGCGTCGAGGTTGGCGCACTTCTCGTGGACCAGTGCCGCGTCATGTCGTCGGCCAAACTCCCGCTTTGGCTTGTGTTTGAGAATGCCGACCCGACGGGCGAGCCGATTGAAGTCATTTTCAAGGCGGGCGACGACGTGCGCCAGGACCAGCTTACGCTCGAGATGTTTCGTCTCATGGAGTCGATTTGGCAAGAAGACGGCCTCGACCTGTGCCTCAAGCCCTATCGGTGCGTGGCGACGTCACCGTTTACCGGCATCCTCGAGGTGGTCACGGAGGCCGTCACGACCGCCGACATTCATCACCGGAACGGCGTCTTTGGGCCGCTCCACGAGGCGAGCTTTCTCGACTGGATCCAGCACCACAACCGCGACCCGACGTCGCTGGCGTCGGCTGTGGACCTCTTTCGACGGTCGTGCGCCGGCTACTGCGTCGCGACCTTTGTCCTTGGCATTGGCGACCGGCACAATGACAACATTATGGTACGACGTCCCCAACGAAATCACAAGTCGATATCTCTCTTGTGCAGATGACGACAGCGGGTCGGTACTTTCACATTGACTTTGGACACATCCTCGGGCACTTCAAGTACCAGGTGACACTAGTTCTACGCAACCGTCATCAGCAGCGCTACGTGTAGCTCAACATCAAGCGCGAGAAGACGCCGTTTGTCTTTACAAAGGAGATGGCGCACGTGCTCGGCGGCGTCGACGCGGAGACGTACAAAATGTTTGTGTCGACGTGCGGCGAGGCGTTCAACAGCATTCGCAAGCACACGCATTTGCTCACGACGCTGCTGCTCATGATGCTACCCGCGGGCATGCCCGAGCTCACGGACGACACGGACCTCCAGCACCTCGTGCAAGCCATGGACACGAGTACGTAGTTTTTCGCGCATCGCCGGTACGAAGCGCTGGCTCGTAGGTCTCACGGACGTCGAGGCCCACGCGCAGTTTGCCGACAAGATTGCGATTTGCCTCAAGCACCCGTTCAAGCGCATCGACAACACGATCCACAACTTTGTGCACAAGCTCCGGGGCTAGAACCAAGGGTTGGGGTTTAAGTATTATATATGGGTCGTGGTGTGTCTTTTCTATTTACCGCCGGAAGCGCTTTTGAGGGCCCTTGAGGTTGAGTTCGCCGACGCCACGCTTCTTGCGCGCGTCGGGCTTGTCGACCTTGCGCGTGTGGTGGCTGTGCGGCATGTACGTCATTTCACGGACCATGCCGGCACCCTGGACGTTCTTCATGACGCTGCGCTCGGTGGCCTTGACCTTTTCGAGCTTGATGCGCTCGGCCAGCGGTAGCTTGGTGAGCTTGCGCCGCTCGCGCTGCGCGTCCTTGTCGGCCGCCGACCCGAGCCCAACGACATTGCGGATCGACTCGCCCTTGGCGAGCTCGTAGAATTTGGGCAACACGACCTTCTTCTTGCCCGCCGGCGCCGTCGGTGCTTCGTCTTCATCTTCGTCTTCATCTTCCGAGGTCGAAGCATCGCTCGGGCGACCTTCGACTTCATCGTCCACCAAGTCGAAGCGACCTTCCTCTTCGTCTTCGCCGTCGTCGTCGCTGTCCATGTCCTCGGCCTTCTTGCGCTTGGTAAGGTGCGCGTTCGGGTGCATCGCGCGGTACGTCTCGGACTCTTCGTCGACTTGGAAGTCGGTCGACGTAAACATCTTTGCGAAGCGGTCGTCGCCGAGCGGGTTGGCAAAGTCGGGCTCGGGCCCCTCGGTCTCGGCCGCTTCGTCGTTCTCGTCGTCCGCCTTTTTGGCTTTTTTGGTCTTCTTGCCCGACACGAGCTGCTCGGCGAGCGCGCGGTTGACCTTGGGGAGACGGCGCTGGATCGTAATACGATTCGCCTGCTTCTCTTTGACCTTCTCCTGGACCTTGGCCTTGCGCCACGCGTCGTACGCGAGCGGCGCGGCCACCGCCGACACCTTGGCGTACAAGCGGGCGTCCATGAAGAAGCCGTGCATGTACGCCTTGAGCAAAGGCGTGCCGATCATGTGGTCCAAGCCGAGCGTCGAGAGCTCCGACCGCGTGACAAACTTGTAGTCGTCGTAGACAGTCGATGACGCTTCCTCTTCGAGTTCTTCTGTGAGGTTGTCAAGGAACGAGCACCACTTTGGCGCGATCCCGAGCTCGGGGATGTAGTACGACATGACGCGCTCCTGCTCGCCGGCGACCATGAGCACGCCCGACATGCCCGCACCACCGCGCACGACACACACGTCGTTGATGTCAGCCGATGTCTCGAGGTTCGTAAAGAGCTTGCCGTCCGTTTTGTCCCAGATCTTGATGCACTTGGCGTCCGACGAGAGCACTTGCTTGGACGGTCCTTCATGGAACGTCACGTCCACGATGGGCAGTTCGTACTGGTGCTGCTTGGTGAGGAGCGGCGTCGACGACCGCAAATCGTACAACCGGACTTCGCCCGTGTGCGTACCCACCGCAAACGTGAGGCCGTCCGTGTCAAAGTTGAGCGCCGACACCGGCACGTCCGGCGAGACGCTCAGCGAGCCGACGCGCGCTTGGCTGCGCGTATCCCACATTTCGACGACGCCATTGTCACCGCCCGCGCCAAGGAGCTGATGGACCGGGTTGAGCTTGACAACGTTCACGGCTGGCATGTTGGTCTGGAGGCCGCCGAGGAACTGGCCTTGGTCGAGGTTGACGCGGTAGATCTCGGCGTCGGACGCGCCAACGTACATATCGCAGTTGCCGCGGTGGTAAACCATGTCGCGGCCAAACTTGGGGATGCGCACGTTGGTGTGCGTACCGTACGGCGCATGGAATGCGATCGAGCGGTCCATCTGGAGGAACGCGAGCTTGCCAAAGTCCTCGGAGAGGCAGACCAGCTTGAGCACTTGGCTGTCGAGGCGGCGCTCAAACTTCATACTGAGGTCGCGCACGTCGTAGACCTTGACGATCGGCGGGTACGTGCCGGTCGCAATGATGTAGTTGCCGTCGGGCGACATGGTCACGCAGTGCGACGCCGTCGGAAAGGTGAAGTCCTGGACGAGCTCGAGGCGGCGGCGGTAGTCCTCATCGCGGCTCAGCGCCTTCTTCGTCTTCTGCGCCAGCCACTGCGGCAGCGTCTTGCCGGCGCTGAGGTTGTAGACCTTGACGCCATTGAGCGATTGCGCCGAGAGCCCGGACGACATGATGCTTATTGCTCGTTGAAGTGTCTTCGACCAATCGCGCGTGCTCGAGCAATTTAATCCACTGGTTGCCGGCATTGGTGGCTATCGCGCAAAATTGACCAATCCGCGCGCGATTCCGCTCCCATTTTAGCCAATCCAAGGCGAGTACGGGCAACCTTCATGGTGGACAACACAAGGATCCTTGCGGGCATGCTTCTGCAATGGACGCCATCGCGCCTCATGGAGCACGGACCTCAACATGGTGGGGATGGTGCACGCACTGAATTGAACTGTTGTAGCGGAACACGCACTTGGAAAAATGTAGTGAATAGGTCGGAGGCGCATCGATACTAGCACCAAGACCACAAATTTGAGTTTATGACCTTGCTTGTACGGGCTTCAGAGCACTGATACCACGAAGAACCGCGTTTGATCTAATACTACGAGCTATGGCCTTGATGGTACCGTAGTACTGGTGTACGTCGGTCAACGCCGAGGCGCCGCAAGATTTGCCTGTCAAAATGGACCAATCACCGTGCTCGGAACGCCGAAATCCCCCGACTTCCACCGTGCACCGGTCCCCTCGGCGGAGTGCATTTGCCATTTCACATGCAAGTATTTGCCAACCTTCGGAAGGCGGCTGTCGTGCGCCACGCCGGCCTTGTCTACGTCCCGTCGCCCGCGAATGGCGTCTTCCGAGGCATGCTGGACCGCGACGGCGACGAGGTGGCGCGTGCGACGACGCTCGTTCGGTACGCGCCCAACTCGACGTTTCCGTCGCACACGCACGCAGCCGGCGAAGAGTTTATCGTGCTGCAAGGAACGTTTCGCGATGACGTGGGCGAGTACCCAGCTGGCACGTACGTTCGCAACGCTGTCGGCTCGGTGCATGCGCCGTCGATCGGGCCCGACGGTTGTCTCATCCTCGTCAAGCTGCGCTGGATGGTACCCGAAGACACCGGCGCGGTCGTCAACACGCTGAGCGATACGCCCGAGTGGACGACGACTCAGGGCGGTGGGCGGTATCTGCGCCTGTACGCGAGCCCTATCACGACGGAAACGGCGTGGATCGTGCACTTGCCGCCAGGGGCAACACTCACCCATCGCCTCGACGAGGACACCGGCGGCCAAGAATTCTTTGTCGTCGACGGCAGAGTCGAGATAACGGCCGATGCGGCGACGTCGGGCACGTATGACCTCTACGACTGGATCCGGCTTCCGCCGCAGACCACCGACAACTACGCAGTCGTCGTGCGCAACCCGAGCACAACAGCAATGACTCGGCTCTTTGTCAAGACTGGCCACCTCGCGCACTTTCTCGATACGACGCCGGCGTAAACGCTTTTGATATCATCTCAGTTTGCACTTTTTAAATATCAAAGTATCGAGTGAAAAGGGCGTTCAAGACGGTGTCGCTCAGTAACATCGACGCGGCACTATCCGCAAAGCGTAATGCAGAACTGCAGTGACGGCCATCACGTCGTGACCTTACGTAGTCGATGTCGGGTTGAAGCGGTGACCAAACTGCTCGGCGAGGCGCATAAGCTCGGCTTCGTCGATACCGGGGCCCGCCGCCGCTCTCTTCTTCTTGCTGCGCTGCCACACGATAAAGCCTCCTGCGCAGAGCACCTATGTTCCAGCACGAGAGTCAGATGCAAGCGATATCGACAGCGTCGTACCATCAGCGGTGTTCGGATCCACGAGACATCGTACATCATTTCAACGTGGGTGAGGAGCAGCTGGAGCACGACCACGTCGCGGGTTCCGTTGGGATGAGCAAAGTGCACCGCCGCAGTTGCATCACTCGGCGCGTCACGAGTCAGCTGCGCGCCCACAGCGGTGCCCGGTACCGGCCACTCGCGGTGAAACACGCGGACTGCAGAGTCCTCTGCGACGCGGTAGCCCGTCAACTGGTCGCGCGCCACGACGAAAATGTGCTTGCGCCATACCATCAATTGCGGGACAACGGTCTCCTGAGCTTTTGCGTGCATTGGGCAAAGCTCGTGCAGAATGTGGCACGTCGCACTATGTCCCGCCGCCGCCAGAAGGCGCTGCAGGTGCAAAACCAAGACCGTGCCGCGGCTTGTGCCGGCAAAGAGCACCAGCGGGCGCTGGGCGTCGCGAATCAGTGACACGATCGCGTCGTTTGAGCCGACGCAAGTCTGCGGTGCGCCGTCACCGTTGACGTTGACCATGCCAATGGCATTGCCGTAGGCATACGCCACTGAGCCGCCCGTGAGCGGTGTGAGCGCGCGGATCGGACCGTCTACTGCCGTGCGCCGGACGCGCTGCCCGAGCTTGTTGAAGACAACGAGCTGCGCGTCACTCGTGCCGACGACGAGGTGCATGTCATAATGCGTTTGCGTCAACGCCGTCACGACGGGCATCGCAAAGCGCGTGGTTGTGTACAGCCGCTCAAATTCGTAGTGATAGCCTCCGTGCGGAGCCGCGCTGGTCACCCACGCCGGCATGTGAGGGTGCAACTGACGGTACCCCGATGACGCGAGGATGGCGTCGGCAGACGGCGCGGCGTGGACGAGGCAGATAGGCGCGTCAGTCGGGCGTCGGCGCACAAAGTCGCCCATGACCAGCCGCCCATTCTCGTAGACGCGGAGGGCAAACACAGTGACTGCGCCATGCGCGTCGACGAGCGCAATGGCATTGCGACTGCCGCTGATGCTCGTGATCGCAGTCGCGTGGCGAACGTGCGTCTGAACTGCCCACACCTCTAATAGCGACGTCGGGTCCACGAGTCGTAGCCAGCCAGTTGCATGCACAACGGCGAGAAGGTGCAGGAACTCGCCGGCTGGATCGAGCTTGCGCTTTGCCCGCTGGTGCTGCATGTAGTTGTTGACGCGCAGCGAGACGAGCTCCGTGTGGGTCACGCGCTGGCCAAAGCGATGCATGGCCTCGTCGAGAAAGAGGTCGGGCGCCGACGCAATCGGCACAGACGCGTTCGTGGCAAGCGCATGGAGAAGGCTTCGCCGCGTCGCAAGGAGCTTCGTGGTCTCTTCGAGCGCGTGTATCTCGGCGTCGACGACGGCGGTCAGCGCAAGCTCGCCATGCACGGCGCCGTAGCAGATGGCGGCGAGGATCGCAAGCACGGCAGCATGTGGTCGCATGCGCATGAAGCGGATTCGAGTTGGAGCTTGCCGCAGTCTCCAAGTGCGCGAACGTGAGACGCGCGACATACATAGACCGCAGCGTCATCGGTTAGGAAACCGACTTGAGAAGGGCTTGGGAGCCATTTCTCGTGTATGACTATTGGTGTATGATGCATACACGTCATGGGATATATTGGCAACGAAAAGGGATCACCAAGAGTGAATAAAATGATTTTGTCTCAAGAGTAACTCGGCGAAACAGAAGGAAGGCAGCTCCCGCTCTTCGGGCGGTCAGCGCCGACTCACACAGCCCTCGCATTGCTACTGCACAGGCTACAGCCCTTGTAGCCCAGCATTTCATAATGTGCCGGTCGTATACCGTGAGGGTGATGGACCATCGATCGACGCGAACTTTAGGTGCGCGCGTGTCAACGTGAAACGGCGGTTTCAGTCCAATACCATATGATTGGTCAATTTATTTGGGGCTGTCGCACGTGAGCGCGGGCCAATCAGAGTATGCCGTGCGCGACCCGCCGTTGTGCCAGGAACCAATCAGCGCGCGGCGTCGGTTTGCGTATCCGGATGAGTGCCGAGATTCCAAGTTTGGCGCAGAGGTTTCGCCGACAATACAAGTGACTGGCCGAATCTTGGGTGGTTGGCCTCCTCTCGAATTGGGATAAATGGGACAAAGGGTTTTGCCCAACGCAGCGTCGAGCTGGTGTGGAGGGCTCGATACGAGAGGTAGCCGCGTCGCGCACCGTGGCGGCTCATCTTCTGCTACCGGTAGCAAATCCCAGCGGCAGCGCTTGCTTGCCCACGCAGTGCATGACGCCAACTCATGCCGGCTAATCGATGCTGGTTCATTGACATGCACTCTACGTGGGAAGGGTTGTGAATCAGTGATTTCCTGGGGACACGCCCTCCATTGATCCAGCGTGACGTCGAGGAACTGCCTGCTACAGTGATATGTTCGCATCCATCACAACTCGATCCGGCGGTGCTACACTGGAATCGATCAGATTTTGGCGAGCGAGCAAGTCGAGTATCTTTCAAATCGACGTCCAACCTGGTCCAATGCCACCCAAGCCAAGACGGAGCGGCGGGATGCTGGTTACAATACCCTCGAGGCACACGAAAGGCGCCAGGCAAGGCTGGGCCAGCACCGCTTCTTTTATGCACAACAAGGCGCCACTGATCGGTCAACCAATCACCCCCAGCTGCGATCTTGGGTCAAATGGGTTTTTCGGGACAAATCCAGTGGCGCCACCGGAGTTGTATCAGTTTGAAATTCGAGCCCCAATGCCCACAAGCAAGAGCGACTACCAGACGATCCCGGTGGACTTGAGCCCGGTGCAGTCGCCGTCGAGTGCGCAGAGGCGGCTGACGCAGTGGCGTGTGCAGATGCTGCTCATCAACCTCGTCGAGTTCTCAGCCGAGTCGTCACGCGGTGTGGTCATGCCCACGCTCTTCCTCTACACGCAGTCGCTCGGCGGCTCGCTCTACGAGATGGGTCTGCTCACGTCGGTCTTTAGCGTCGGCCGCCTCATCTCGTCCACGGTCTTTGGCTGGCTCTGCGACCGCTACTCGTTCCGCTTTGTGTACATTGTGTCGTCGTTGATCGGTCTGCTTGGCAACATCATCTATCTGCTCGCGGACCTGCACGTCTACAACTGCGTGCACGTATTGCTCGTGAGCCGGTTCCTTGTTGGCTTTGGCGCCGGCAACCGCAGCGTGTGCCGCGCCAACGTCGCCGCCATCACGCACGTCGACCAGCGCCTCAAGTACATGACGATCCTTGCCATGGTCGTCTTCTTTGGCTACGCACTCACGCCCGGCCTCGGCGGCATTCTCAACGACATTGACTTTCGCATTGGGAGCCTTCACATCCACAAGCTCACAGGTACTCTACACCATCGCAATCTCCATCTCAATCTGAATCTCGAATGTAGCACCTGGCGTCGTCCTCGCTGCCATGAACCTCGTGACGATTGTGCTCATGCTCACCACGTGGGATGAATCCATCGGGCTCGCCGACGCACCAGACGTCTCGCCGACGCCGTTTGCGGCCAAGAAGTCCAAGGTCGCGCCGCTCACCGCGCTCCCGGACCGCCTCGTCTACTGGGGCGTCTTTGTCTTTATGACGCTCAACGTCGTCGCGCGTGGCATTCTCTCCATCTTTGAGACCGTCAACGTCCCGCTCTTCATCGACATCACGGGCCACACCAACGAGACAGCAGTCCTCGCTGCCTCGAGCTTCCAGTTCAACATGGGTCTTCTCGGGCTCTTTGCGTACGTGGCGATCGAGGTTTGGCGCCACGCCATCACGGACGTCATGTGGCTTCTCATTGGTTTTGGCGCCCTCGCGCTCGGCAACCTCGTCTTGATCCTGGACATGGCCTCGCGCAGCTACACAGAGCTCGCGATCGGTATCTTCTTTGTCTGGAGCGTCGGCAGTCCGCTCACGACTGCGGTGTGCGTCGCCGCCTTCTCCAAGATCCTCGGCACGCGCCAGCAAGGCACGTGGATGGGCCTCCTCGGGTCCGCCGCGTCCGTGTCGCGCATCATCATGCCGCTGTTGCCGGCGCTCTTTGCGACGTTTACGCCGCTCTTTTGGATCAACTTTGCACTCTGCGTGGCGAGTCTGGGCCTTCTTGTGTGGTACGACGCGATCGTCAAGCGCGAGCGGTCGCAGCAAGCGTCTCAGACGCTCCTTCCCAAAACCGTGTATGTCTAAGCCTTCCCGGCACTTGCATGTTGCATCGAGGTTGAGCCCTACGTGGCGCGCCAATAGAGATTTGTTTACCCTTCTTTGCGTCTTGTAGTAGAAAGCGCTACCAAAAAAGATGCTCCAACGACATGCTTTGACGCATGTAGGGCTTCGGCTACCGTTCTACAGCATGTACACACCGCAGAACGGTAGCCCGACGCGACGCTCTCACGTATGCAGCGAGTGTAAATATCAAGTAGTTCCATCGCATACTGGCGTAGCAACTTGCCAACTGTCAACATAAAAATTGCCTCTGC